ACTAAGTTCCTTCAAGTTGTCTTCAAACTCACAGAGATTTTCCTGCCTCTGCCTATGAGTGCTGGGATTAAAAGAATGTGTCACTATACATGGTTTATTCCCAATTTTTTCATTTTAGTACCCCAGTTATGTCAACAGTGTCAATCTTGCTCCCCTGAGTTAATGCTAAAGTGGAGGGATGATAAAAGGGAGTTATTAAGGGTTAGCAACAGCCAGTTTCTTAAAAGGCCTGCTCTAAGAAATGCATTTGGGTTTTAAACCTCAGAAGGCACAGGAAACAGAGGAGCAAGTAGCAGGGTGGGTGAGATACTGCAGAGAGGCTCTAAATGAGCTCTTAGGCACCTGTGGAAAAGCATTCCAGGGCTAACCCTAGATGTCCTAAAGCACACTGCTGGGCAAAGAGCTCATTGTCAATGCTGCTTCCTAGGGAGACGACTGCACCTGGTGTCTGGGATGCAGCCTTTCCCCAGAATCTTCAACAAACTAGTGTCATTAATTATTAATATGATCTCATGCCCACTCTGCCCCTCACTTATTTCCCAAACCGTGCCTACAGTGTTCTTTATGACCACAGTCCTAGCTGGTGATGAGCTGCTTAAAATCTTTCACTAACCTGCTGTGGCTCTGGATGACATGGTTTCATTAACCTTTTGCCTCTGACCCTTTCTTTGAGCAGTTTCCAGGAACTTCTACCTTCCTTAAATTATGTGGGGGATTTGGGCATCCTGACTTAGGGATTCCACATAAATAGTACCCTCTGCCTGGAAAGCTTCAAACCTAGCCTGTCCCTTTAACCTCATTTTATAAATTTCTTTATCGTTAGCAAAATGCTGTCTACTTAGGAGCTCTGATATCTCCTAATATTTTCCTTTCAGGGGACATAGTTTTAACTATATATTCATCTTTATGTTGCCACTTTGAAAAACACCAGACCATGAGCTGCATGTAGGCAGTGGGGAGCCTGTTTGCTCAGTCCTGTACCACCCCCACATCTCTGGCTCACCGCAGACCCACAGCAAATGTCTGCTGAATGAACACAGCTTCTTCTTGCTTTCTCACTATCCTTCCCTCATTTCTATTATTTGAAGATATTACCAAGGCAGTGAGCAAATAATAATAATAATGAACATCTTATTTTAAAAATGAGTAATTGAATTCCAAAATAAATGAAATCAAATCAACAGCTCCAGTAATGGGTGGGTTAAAATGAACCAGTCAAGGCTGTTATCTCCTTTGAAAATATCAAACTGCAACTATAGGTGCAGCTGGGAAAATTTTGAAACAGATGCTACTACATCTGTATTGCAGTCCCAGTATCTCTACCCAAACAACAGTATCCTCACCTTTCTCCCTGGATCAGCAATGGCTGCTACTAGACCCTGAAACACCTGAAACCAAATTCATCATTTTTCCTCAATGTATTACTTTATTATGTTGCTTATTTCTATTACCATCACCCCAACAGTTACCAACCAGGTCATTCACATGTGAATATGTCTACATATTTAGGACCTTCCTTTTTAAACTTTTTAAAAATTTAATTTAAAAAAATCATTTGTCCTTGTATGAATGTGAATCATTTGGGTATATGCCTAAGAATGGAATTACTGGACCTTGAGGTAGACTGATTCCCATTTTCCTGAGGAGCGGCCATACTGATTTCCAAAGTGGCTATACAAGATTGCACTCCCACCAGCAGTGGAGGAGTGTTCCCCTTTCTCCACATCCTCTCCAGCATAAACTCTCTTTGGTGTTTTTGATTTTAGCCATTCTGACCGGAGTAAGATGGTATCTCAGAGTTGTTTTGATTTGCATTTCCCTCATGGCTAAGGATGTTGAGCACTTTCTTAAATGTCTATCAGCCATTTTAGATTTCCTCTATTGAAAATCTATTTAGCTCTGTACCCCTCAAAAGCTTCTCATGAATTAAGATACAACTTGCACTATGCTTCCTTCTGCTCTAACACATACCCTGTTGTATTTTACATTATAGAATCAAAGGTTTGCTTCTGTTATTTAAACATAAGACTATAAGATGCAAACTGCTGCTGTTGCTGCTGGTGTGTGTGTGTGTGTGTGTGTGTGTGTGTGTGTGTGTGTGTATTGCCCCAAACAAGTGGGTTTTCATTCAGGGAGAACATTTAAGGCAGGGAAAAACACAGCTGAAGGGTATTCACCTGTTTCCAAACAACAGTGAAACAAACTTGCAGAAAGTTGTTACCCTCAAAATTAACAGAAATACAATTATAATTTATAATAAAACCACCTACAAATGGTCAAACTGAAGTTGGCAGAGGTCATTTAAATTCTTTTTAAAAAATGAGATCTAAGCTGTAAGGAAGGGAGGAAAGGAAGGGGGAACCAGTAAAGAGGGCAGGGAGAATGGGAGGAAGGGATCTATTTTGGGCACTGAGACGGAATCATATCAAGACATTTTATTAAACTCTACATTGAACTGTGTTCAGATCAGTCTTCTACTATTTAGAATATTCCTTCAATTTTCAGATAAGGATGTTAACTTTGATACTATCTATGTAAATTTCCCAAGATCCCAAGTTTAAGCAGAGGCAAGGCACAGGACTACTTAGACCAAACATCCCCTCATCACAACACTGTAATAGTCAAGATCTTTGTCTGTCGACCACAAGAACCACAAAAGGACAACCCAAGGCATTAAAACCTCTGGTTACCACTTGTTAAATTAACCCACCTGATTACTGCCAGCCTCATGAACTTTCTCCTCCTCCTCGGTAGTTTTTGGAGACACAGTCTTGCTCTGCAGCCCACCTCAATCTTTTAAGGGCTGGGGTTACTGGCAAGACCTACCACACCTACATTTACAAATTCCTCCCCATGTTTTCTTAACAAACTGTGACGATTGTGACAAACTGAACAAAACTATGGCTTTGATATATGCACATTTTCAAAATGAGTGTCTCAGAATTGAAACATGAAGTTCTTAGTACACAAACTAGGCAGATAGCTCTCACTAATATATAAGCCTTTACAAGTTAAGTAACAAAAAGTAGCAACGATTTATTGCTCTGTTCTGAGAACTGCTAAAACAGTGTACTATTTGTTTTCTGAGATGGGTTTCACTATGTAGTCCAGGCTTGCTGCTTTCATTCCAGCCAAACAACACAGCTCACCTGCCTTCAAAGGATACACTTTTGATTGCACGGCTGGCTAGGTCTTTTTAGTGCCACCAATTCCCAGGGATAACTCTTAAACCTTTTACTTCATTTAAAAGCAACAAATCAAACCCTTCTTGACAACGCAGGATCCAAACTCAAGCTACACTCTAGCTATCTAATGTACCAAGTTTTCCAGTTGTAGAATTACTCCCAATTTTTGGGATGACAGGTCACTGAGATTATAGAGATGTACCACCATGCCTGTTTCCTGTGTCAAGACTTAAACATACATATTATTCTACATAATTTTATCTTATTTGAACTATTGTACATATAACTTTTACAGTTTAAAAAATGTAAATTTAAAAAAGCAAGGTTTGGGCTGGGGAGATAGCCATTCAAGTATGAGAGCCTGATGTCAAGCTCCACTCCAATCCTGGTCTAATGTACATGTTTGTAATCCCAGTTCTGGGAAGGTAGAGAGGGCAGATCCTCAGGCTTGGGAGCCAGCATAGACTATTTGATGCGCTCCTGGCCAATGAGAGATCTTTTCTCAAATAACAAGGTAGAACTAAGGAATAACATCTGAAGTCATCTTTTAGGCTACACACACACACACACACACACACACACACACACACACACACACACACACACACACACGTGCGCGCGCGCGCGCGTCATATTTTGTTTGTAATCTAACAAATAAAGCTTACCTGAAGATCAGAGTACAGAGCTAGCTAGTTAGCCATACACCTAGTTAAAAGGTAAGCCACTAGTTAGCCATAGAGGACAGGCAGTGGTGGCCATACCTTTAATCCCAGCACTCAGGAGACTGGCAGATGGATCTCTGTGAGTTCAAGGCCACCTGGGCTACATGAGAGTAAATCAGTTTAAAAGAGAAACAGAGCTCACATCTTTGATCCCAGCACTTGGGATGACACATGTCTAATCCCAGCACTAGAGAGGAATATAAAGCAGGAGCTCAGTGCAGTCTTAGGGCAGTCTGAGGTTTGGTAGAGAGCATTGCAGTCACTTGGAAGACAGGATTGCTCCTTTGGTCTGAGCCTTGGTAGAGGTAACAACTCTAGCGGCTTGGCTGTTTTGCTTTTCTTATCTTCAGCTTGAACCCCAATATCTGTCTCTGGGTTTTTATTATTTGTGCTATATACACGTGTGCCAATGATCATGTACACACACACACACACACGTACGCACACATGCGCGTGTGGGTATACATATGCAAAATGTCTTGTGGTTTTTGTGTTGTTGTGAGACAGGGTCTCTCTATGTAGTCTGGCTGACCTGGAACTTACTGTGTAGACCAGGCTAGCCTCAAACTCACAAAGATCACCTGCTTCTCTGCCTGCTAAGTGCTGGGACTAAGGCATAGACTACCACAACCCAAGTAAAAATTTTCTTCTTAAGTATCTTAAGAGTTTAAGAATTAAAGGAAAAGGAGAAAAGAAAGGTAACCCTGCATAATCAAATAGGAAAATTCCAGCAATATTATTGTGGAAAAACTAGCCTATAGATAGGAGATGCTTTTATTTATTTAGTACTTAAGCAGGACCAACTGTGTTTATCCTCATCCCAGCTCAAACATGAAAGTAAGAAATGAGAAAAGACAAAAATGTATATAGAGAAGAACTCTGCCCTTCAACAACACTCTGTTGAGAAAAAAAGCTTTTAGCATTGTCACTAAATGTCTAAAGAAACTGAGGCACAGAAAGGTAAAAATTACAAAGTTGGGGGTAAAATTAACAGCCTTAAACTGTGGATGGTGAAGTTTTGTGTTAAGGAAAACAAGGAGGTAGCAGAGAATGTGTTGGTCACAGGAATGTGGCTGGACACACACTAACATACCTATTGTTGTTCCGGCAATTCCGACAATTAATGCATTCCAGTGGGTCAATCTGAGGGACTGCTGTGTACATTCCTCCGCCCTGGTCAGGACAACATTCAAGGAGAAAGAAAAGAAGAAGCTGAAGGGGCCAGAGACCATTTGTTAAATAATCACAAGTACATATCAGTAACAAATGGGTGTGTAGTGTATTTACACACACTGCCTGAGCAATGTAACACTTTCTACTTATTCACAAGTGAGCCCTGCACAATGTTACACTTTACCCCTAACTCTGAACTGCCACATTCTTCCAGATATTTCTGTACTGGAAAAAAAGCAAATAAATGGAGGGAGGTTAGTCACTTCCTTTTAGTATTTCAAATTTATGGCTTAAAATATACTATACATCATGAGCACCTCCTCATGTTTTCTTTTCTAGCAATCATGGGAAAAGCTTATGTGATGCCAGTTCGAGAGACAGGGTGTAAACTCTGTTTGAATGATGTCACAAGATCAACCCATCTTCATTTTCCTGTAATTATTTCACTTAGGTCTGTTCACTTGACTGCACTGTTTTAAAATGTCATATTTTTCCAGATGGAGTAGACTCTCAGCCAGCAATGACTTGGAGGGAATATTAATATTTTGATGTTGCTTTTGGCGGAAACTGCTCAGCAATTAAGGAAAATGCCCAGATTAACACATACCTCATTGTAAAATGTTCATTTGACATACAGAATGGCAAACAGGAAGTTAAAGATTGACTGGCCTTAGAATCAGAGCTCTGCTTTCTGGAAAAAAACAGCAGAACTGAATCTGAAGGGTGGGGGAGGTTGTCACAGAGCACTCAAACCTCAAGCAAGCCTTCAAGGTGTTCAAAGGGTTCAGGCAATTGCTTTTGCTAGAACATTTTCCATTTCATTTATCTTATAATAACAGCCAAGCAAACCAAAACTAGAAATTTCTCTCTATAACCCCGATCCACCTAACAACAGGAACGATGAAGAAAACAGAGGAAGAACAACCATAGACCACATTCAGTTCATGTGGACAAACTCCAGGAGTAGAGAAAAATGGTATCGTTGATAAGAACTGTTGAATTTATTAAAGTCAAGTCAGTGGTCACACTGACGCCTGGCAGACATCATTTAAATGGCAAGTGGGTTCTGCAAACCCAGCGTTCTGTGTTGGAAGCATCAGCCATAGGGTTCCTTCTCACAGAAACGGCCCGTGCTGTTCGGAGCAGAACGCTTTCTCCATCAGCTTTCTCCACTCCTTGGCTGAGGCAAAGAAGGAGTGGACTGAGAATGGAGACAAGCCATGGCTCGCTCCAAAGAATAACGAACTTATTATCTCTCGGTAGTGAAAAACTTTGTAGAATGTACAAAAATTCAGTCTCACAAAAACCATAGGATTTTTAGCTTTATGATACAAACGTACCTTACAGTTTTTGTTTCGATATCTTTACTAAAATGAAGGTGAAAAAAGAAAACTTTTCTAGATTGCAGCAAATGTCTTTGCAATCAGAATAATAGTAAAAACTAAACAAATATGACCAACTAAACAAACTATCTGATTAAAAGATAATATGGATGCACCGCCAGAAATATAATAAATCAAAGTCCCTCATACACAAACCCTTTTAAGAAAAATTATCTTAACTGTGCCAGTCAGTCATTCTAGTCCCACTGGAAAAAACAAAACTATATTACCTCACAAATAAGGAAGTTTTAAGGGTTTGCAACTGAATTTCTTGTTGCTAAAAATGCTAATATTCTAAAATCCAGAAGGTTTACATGATACAAAGTTAAAAGAAAAAAAATACTGGGTAAAACAAACTCATGATGTGTCAGGAGTCATAACCTGGCACCCTGTGGGAACCCTTTACATGTTCTTCATAAAGCTGGGGGTGTTGGTCATCCAAGAAGCAATCCCTGCAACAGCAGAGGTCCAGGTTCCCTCTCTAACATGGAACAAAGAAAATCTGAGTGATGTGCTAGCACTGGGTGATTTCTACCTGAATTTACAAGTGTACTGAAAGGTCAAAAAGTTCACCAGGACTAGGACCTGCACTGTGCACGACAAGAGCAGGTATAGAGCTGGAACCCCTTCTTCAGCGGGGAGCAGCTGCCACCAGCCCCTTCCACTGGGGCATCCCAATGTGCTACAGAACATCCCAGACTTAACAGCATTTGAGTTCTCAGACTCAGCTCCAAGTAAGTCAAATGTGAACCATCTGGTCTTTGCTCATCGGCATTTTCCACTTTGTCTCAAGAATGACTCCCAATGTGCTCTTTCCTGCATTCCACTCTGTGGTAAATAATTTAAAGCTAGACCAAGCTGACGAATACAGCTATTGCTGATGACAGAAAACTGGTGAAGACTGCTGGTAACATATTCCATGCCCACATCTATGACTTACAAGGAACCTAGAGTAAAATATGTCAAGTGATCGCCAGTCCCTGCAGTGGAGGCCCTGAGCAGGTATCATTTATAATGAGGTCTCTTACATTCACTAGATGGTGAGGACGCTCAAACTCCACACGTGTCCTGGTTAGTGAGTTTGTGTGTGCGGAATAAAGCCCTCCGTTTATGCTTCCGTTCAGGACTCCATTGACTCCATTGGGGACTTTATGGTGCAGATGAGAACAGCCATTGCTGAGGCTGCCTTTGCTGAGGAAGCCTCCGTGAACACTCCCATTGATCCGGGCTGTTCCTGAGAGAGTGGCATACTCTACCATCTGCCCATTAATCTCGGACCCTTGATAGAGATATCCTGGGGGATCATATTCTGTTGAAAAGAATAAACAAGCCCAGAAGGAAAATCGTCAGGTATTGAAGGAAAAGAAATTCTATTAATGACATCACTAAGACACTACAAACAAGACTTAACATAAAACGTGCTAAACTGTTCACACAAGCTTTGCTAAAGTTGCTTCATTTACTTCTTTAGAGTACAGAGTAGCTTGGAACGTTGAATTAACTCAGACTCTCTTAATAGATGGAAAACTTTATCAGGGAGAAATTACTCCCAAGGAAACAATGTGCAAAAGGAAATCATCCAAGTGATGGCAACGGTTAAGTGGGAGGGCTTCAAGTCCCACACACTTCAGAGAGCTGAAACAATTGTCAGAATGCTGAGAAAAACAACAGTTTAAACAGCAGTAAGCAGCACTTTCAGGGGGAAAAAAGATGGCACATGTCCACTTAGTGGCTGTTCAATAGCTCCTCCTGTCACTGTGCAGGCTGAGGGTGTGAGGTATTAAAGGCAAAAAGGCGATATTAAAAGTGCAAAGGCAAATTCTGATTTTCAGAGGCACAGCTGCCAGATACATTTAGAAAAAGCGAAGATATTCCTAAGAGTCCTCGTGGCAAAACTATAGGGATCTGGTGCCAGGTTCCAGCTAAGTGCCCTCAAGTGTCTCCTGGTCCCGCGCTTTCCCTACAGGTGCACAGCACTCCTGTGCAAGGTATCTATGCTCCTTCAGAGCAGGCCTGATTATCTTACTTATTGGTCTCCATTGCTTAGCAGTGTCTCACAGGCAGAACACAATGAGTTTCTTCTGGTGGCTTAAGTGGCTGAATAAACACTCCCATTACAATTTCCATTCTGTAAAAATATTATCATCACAATGGAAAATGGCTTCTTATCAGATCAGTCTTGCTCAGATAACCAGCACAATGCTTGACTAACTCAATACATGCACAATTTAAAGCTTTAGAACCATTTAAAATAAGGCCCAATCAAATGGTCACAAGCTTTGCAGCCTGACGACACCAGTCCAGTCATGCCTCTTTTGGAAAGCACTGATCAATCAAAAGAGATTTTTTTTTTCATGAGTTATTAAGTTATTAACTTAAGGGTGAGTATTTGACAGTGGTCCCTGGAAGTACTTATCACTATGGGTTTCCTCTTGCTTTTCTTTTATTTCCTTATTCTTAGGCCAAACTGGAGACTTTCCCTCACCAATGTCTGATAACCTTGCTTGATTTGGTTTTAGTGTTTCTAAGGACAGGGAAGGAAGGCTGTTGGTATTAAAACAGTACCATCATCAAACTTAAAAATCACACCTCTTACTTGATGCATATGGGAGACAGTATGTCACTTCAGAGTTGTTTGGGTACAGCAGTTGTGGAGGCTCGTGACACCTACCGACAGTAACTTAAAAGCTTTGCTACCTTCCTTCCCATCAGGCCATTTTCCATTCACTTGGATACATGAAGACATTTCTACAATGATTCCAAAATTGATTCTGCAAGCACTCATCCTCTTTGGTGGTCCAACAACGCCAGGCTTTCCCAGCACCAAGACAGCTATTTACTCAGAGACCTGCTTAGTTTGGGCTTTGGTGTTTATTTCTAGTGGGCAATTGAATTTGATGCTCCAGTTACTTTGGCTGGCAGCATGAACAGTTCTAAAGCCACCCCCTCTGAGTGGAGAGTGTCTAGCAGCTTTCATTCCATGGCACAAATACATAAAAGTGTTAGGAATCAATATTTATTCTGACAATATTTTTTCTACCCATCTCTAGAAAAATACAAGGAAATACTTATAAATGACTCACTCTGTATGGCATTCTGTTGGCGACTTTTCCACAAACACAGCGCAATGAAAACCATAAGAATGAGAACCATAACACCAAGCACACAGCCAACGATGAGGTACAACATGTCACTGCTCCTGGCAGGGCTGGTGGCAGGCCCCACATTCCCTCCACTTCCTGAAGAACTGGGAGGGGTACTCAAGTCTTTCATGGGATACTCCGAAGCTCCAGGAACACGTTTCACTGGATGAAATATTAAAAAAAAAAAATTAAGTCAGAGTTTATGAAATGGACTCTCAAAGGAGGTCTGGCTAGGAATGCAAGCTGGTGTGTTTACTCTCCTTACAGAGATGGTATGACCACCAATGAATCACAAAATATGAATTTCTGATCTGCCAGAGTTTTAGTCCATTAATTTATTTTTTAGCAATTCTAAGAGCCAAGAAACATACAAATTGGTTTGACCCAAACAGCTGTACGATGATCTTTTGGACTGTGCTCACAGAAAACTCCTGGGCTAAAATAAAATACTTCAACTAATGAACAGAAAACAAATAAAAAAAAAAAAAATAAATAAATAAAAGCCACCTGCCCCCCCAAAAAAGCACACTAAACAAAATGCATTCTGTGTGATATATTTTCCCCTGAATAAGACTTGGAGTTACTGTTTTATACTTCTATCATGTAAAAAAGGAACATTAGATAATTAACATTGAACTACTATAGCCACTATATATAATCCAAAATCCTCATGCATCCTTTAAGCTTCCCCAATGAGGTCTACTACAGTCCATGTAAACACGGTCCTCTCACCTACATCATGGGTATTCTGGGCATTTGATCACAAACACTATTTAACAACAGTGACACAAACCCCGTTCTCCCCATCTGCAAGTCACATGTTCTTATTGCTCTAATGTAATAGAAAAGTCCCACTCAATCATAAGCATAGTAGAGTGGCTCATAGCCCATTCTCTGGAGCCAGGGTTCCTAGGTTCAAACTCAGCCCTGTGACTCGCATCACTTTACCTCTACAAACCTGTTCTGTGTTCAGAAAATGGAGCCATCTTAAGTCTGTAATGAAAGGGGCTATGGTCTGAATTCTACTCATGTAGAAATTTAACCACCATGACAACAACATTAAAAAGTGAAATTGGCAATTAGGTAGTAAGGACATTATCCCCACCAATGGATCAGCATCATTATTACAAGAGTGGTTGGTCATAAGAAAATGGGTTTAATGTGAACCCTTTTTGTCTGCTCTCAGTCACTTACTCTTCTACCCAACTATGACATGGGACTGGAGGCCCTTGCCAGACTATTAGCGTTATGTTCTGACTTCCCAGCCTCCAGTCAATAGACTCCTACTGGCTGTAAGCTACAACTGATAGTGAGGGGTGCTATTCTGAACACAGCCACATGACCATAAAAATGCATTATGATACTGTCTCAGTCTCTTCCTTCTTTGCAGTGCTGGGAATGGGGCACACCACTTGGTCCATGCTAAGCAGATGCCTTCTCTCTGAGCTACAATCCTATACCAGTATTGTTTCCTCTTGTGCCCAGTAAGATGTATATACATAATTTTGTGTGTAATATATATACACATGAGTGTTCAGATGCCCTTAGAAGCCAGAACAGCATTGAACCCTCTGAAGTTAGAGTGCACATGTGAAGCACCCAACATAGGTGCTGGGAACAACTGTTGTGCTCTGCAAGAACAGCCACCTCTCCTGCCCTGCCTGGCAAGATCGTAAAGAAATGGTATCCTGCATTTGATTATTCTGAGTATCACGGTACTCTAGAAACAAGCAAGAAATCCTCCTGAATGCATCCCAGTGCCTGCTTCAAAGAGGTACTCAGATATATAGGAACCAAACATAATTCAAGACAAGGTCCAGGTGGACAGAGGACTAGTGTGGATTTAATGGGAGAGTTTTTCAGCAGAAAGACACGTGATTGAGAATTTATAAGAAAGAACTAAGCCTGGCTTTGCAAATCAATCTTGAGTCTTTGTATCCTTGCTTTATTCATTTCCTCATCATCAAATAAAAATAACTGTAGCAAACACTGATGACTAGCCTGAGTATTCAACAACTTCCTTCTTCCATGCTACCTAAGCCTTCTTAAATAAGTCCCTTCTTAAGGACTAGGGATATAGCATAACACAAAGCCCTGGGTTTGAGCCCAACAACATATAAACTGAATTCTCAGTATTCAGGAAGAAAGGTCTGAAGTTCAAGGCTACATAGGGAGTTCATGGCTAATCTGGGATACATAAGACTGTGTAAAATAATGATGATAAACTTTTTAATAATAATAATAACAATAATGATGATGATGATAGCAAACTTTTTAAAAATAGGCATTATACCAGGCAGTGGTGGCACACGCCTTTAATTCCAGCACTCAGGAGGCAGAGGCAGGCAGATCTCTGTGAGTTCAAGGCCAGCCTGGTCTACAGAGCAAGTTCCAGGACAGCCTCCAAAGCTACAAAGAAACCCAGTCTCAAAATAAATAAATGAATAAATAAATAAATATTAAGTAAGTAAGTAAGTAAGTAAATAAATAAATAAATAAAGGCATTACTAGATCTCAGCATGCTTACATGACTACATGAAAAGTCAGATCCCTGGCTGGCTATGTGTAGACTCAAGGCACCCAGGAGAAGGCAAAGAGGAAAGAGAAGACCCAGGACTTCCTAAATGACCTCAGAGCTGCTTCCCTACATCTCACTAAGCAATGGGAGATGCCCGGCAGAGATGTTAGTATTACAGACAATTAAGAAAGCCCTAAGGAGGTATATAGACTTTTTCTTCTGTTTTATGAACATCCAGATTAACCATTTCATCTCTTCCCATGTGGTGCCTCCTCCTTTTAAAGATCCTTTTATAGTCAGTCTCTGTGTGTAGGCAGAGTTGAGTATGAGAGTTTTGAATTTGTGGCTGCTATCTTAAACTTAATACAACACATACTTAAACATGTAGTTAGTATCTGTCATTCAATAAACTGCTTTAAGCAGATTGCTGTGGCTTGAGTGTATCCCTGAGTCTTGGCCCCAGTGTGGCCATGTTCAGAGGCAGTGGAACCTTAAAGAGGCCTAGAGGGGAATCCGGGTACCAACTCAGCAGGGAACTGCTTAAGTCCTTGTGAGGTCCTAGTTAGTTCTCATGAGAGTACGGTTACAAAAGAACAGGTGTGGCCCCCATCTGGCCTTCCTGTCATTGTGACACCATCTGTCACCTCTCACAGAGCTGAACTGATACTAGCTGGCATCATGCTCTTGACCTGAAGAGCTGTGAGCTAAACAATCCTCCTCTTTCCTTAAAGTCCTCAGCCTCAGCCATTACGTTTTCATAACTGTAACACAGGTGTAGTACAATTCCTTAATCTTCTATAGTTTTATTGATAGTTCAATTTTCATAGAAAGTAGCAAACATTTGTGCTCTATGGAGAATATGAAAAAAAGAAGTGATTTATATATGGTCACACAGAAAGCAATGGGCACTACTAATGCTTATGTAGACAATGTTTTAGATAAGCGCTCTAGCCAGCACAATGGACTTCTATGGGGTAGTCTAATGCATACACCTAGAAACTGGTCCAAGGTAGAAATTTCACACAGAAATATACCAATAATTTTAAGATGGGATCTAGAGTTTGGGATCCCAGTACTGGCCGGGGAGGAACACAAACTTCCACACCTGTCCTACCTTTAGTCTCGCAGATCATCACGTTGCTGAACTCACTCTCTCCACCTTCATTAAAGCACTGCATCTTAATGTCATAAGAGGTTTCTGGCTGCAGGTGACCAATCGTGTGCCACTGCTTTGAACCTAGAGAAGAGACAGGAGAGGCAAGCTGTAGACACCACATAGCCTTGATGACACCAATGTGCTTATTCGGTGTTTGCAGAATGAGATTTATCAGCACCACTCACCATTTCACACAGCTTGCGAGATAAAAACACCCTTCACGTGAGCATGTTTTACTGCATCATGGATGAAGAGCATTGCTACTAAGTGGCATGTAAAATAGGCAAAGAGATAAACTCAGTTAAAGGGTATCTGGTGTGTTTGTAGCAATACTGGTTTTTATTTAAAAATGAGTGGCAAGTCTTTAATAAAAAAACATGCATAGGAGAAAAAAACATGTCAAATCCTCATTTTACCCCAGCAAGTCTGGCTACTATGCCTGCCCACTAAAAAGCCACAGTACAAACGAGATACCAAACAGTGGATACATGTCGCTGGGGTGACCAGTTGCAGGAAAGGCGTTCACGGAACTCTCGTCCATTGCCATGGACACAAGGCAAACTGCTGTGGGAACCCTCAACCACTGCGCCCAAGGCTTCTGTCCTTTTGAGTGGGAGCCTCAGAACTGCATAAGTGTCTCCTCTATTAGGATTGTGTTATCTGTGGAGTGCAGCCAACATTTCATTTAGAAACACTCCCAAACTGCGCACTCCAGTGTAAATCACACTGATTTCACATTAATAGATCTGTGACAAACTTTCATAAACAGGGACACTTTTGCCAGATTTAATTAACTCTTCAAGTACTCTTAATCCCATTTAGAAATTGACTCTTCCAACTGTTTCCAGTGTTTCCTAGAAATTCCAGCATATCACCAACGGATTAAAGAATTAATTAAAGGGATAGGGGAAAAAAAAAAAAAAACTACAAATCTGCTTGTCCAACAGGACCAGTATCACAGGCTCCTTTCTAATTCAACACAGACAAAAACATTTCAGCCCCTTTGCAAGTCATCACACAAAACCCCCTCATGTACACAGGCTTACATTTTACAGGGGAGAAAATCAGCTTGTCTAAGATCAAGTGTCTCTGCTCTGGGAGTGGGTTCTAGACTTCACTTACATTTGTAAAGAGATCTCCTCCACCCAATTTTTTTTCCTTTTTTTTTAAACAAGAAACTGGTTGAAGCTGGAATGGGCCTATTTCTAAAATATAAAAATCCCCCTTAAGACTATTTCTCACTCTAGCTTTTGGCCTTTCCTGGCTCTATACCCTCTAGACCAGGGCACTCCCTCCTTAGAACTAGTAGTGGGGTTAAGCTTCTGACCGGGTTTTAGGAAAAAACAGCTACAAGATAAACCTTAGATTTGTGTTTCACTGTGGTGCCCAATCTTTTCAATAGGAAAAACCATAGGTTGGCAAACAGAGCGAATTTTTATCTTTGGCAAGACAGCTATGTGAACTACTGTGTCTAAACCAAACAATGAGTGTACACCCTCTGCTAAGCCTCAGGGTTCGATGACTAAGGAACACAGTGAGCGTTACACACTGACTTATCTGGAACTCCTCTTAACAAGACAAAATAACTCCACACAAAAACTCTGGCAGTCTGAGAACATTTGTAGTTCATCTAAACGTGGCAAAGAATTTAGAAGATAATGTAAGAAACACAAGTGCTAGCTGGGCATTGGTGGTGCACGCCTTTAGTCCCAGCACTCGGGAGGAAGAGGTAGGCGGATCTCTGAGTTCAAGGCCAGCCTGGTCTACAGAGCTAGTTCCAGGACAGGCTCCAAAGCAGTTCTGTCCCAAAAAAATAAATAAATAAATAAAATAAAAAATAAAAAAAAAAAATAAAGAAAGAAAGAAAGGAAGGAAGGAAGGAAGAAAGAAAGAAAGGAACACAAGCAGTCTTGTTGTAGTCTTTATAATTGATTTCCTGGTGGATGGGGAGAAAATTTTTGGATCAATATACACATAAGTAACCAAAATCTCTAAAGAAAAATTTAAGTACATACTTTAAGTGAGCATTTTGTTCCTGGATTTGGGAGAATAGACCAATAGCTCCAAGTGCCACAGAAAGAATTCCAAATGAATAAACTTGAAAATAAGGAGTAAGCAAATTACACAGCACAGTGGATCCCACTTAAACATCTAACTGCTCAGTGTGCTACATTTATAAACAAGCTTGCCGAGAACCAGGAGGACCTCATCTGTGAGCACTGCTAGACACGAATTGCCACCAAACTCCCATGTCCCAAGCTCACATTCAGATCACAGAGGTTTGCAAACGTTCAAAGATTCCTCTGAAGAGCACAGTTTAAAAACTGTTAACCCACAGCGATTCCTAGAAAGTACATGAAGGAAGGCGAGGGAGAGGGAGAGAGACCCAGAGAGCTATTCATGCCACTTAACATTGGCTTTGTTTAGAACCCTCTTATACCAAATGTTTAACCAACGTCAAAAGTTTTAAAAATAAAAATCTGATATCCCATTCTTCTAAATCATCTAAACTAAAACAAAGACTTGGGCAGGACAAAATGCAGAAGTCATAATTATCTTACTGTTCTTCCTACACAGCCTTTTGACTGAAGGAAAGTATGCAAACCGAAGAGCTACACACAATAGTACAGCACGCTGAATGTTCACAAAGCAAGCACACCCACAGCACGGATGTCCAAGCCACCAAAGGAACACACTGGCTTCCCACTGTCTCCCACTTTGCTCCCACTTGACTTCTGAGAGTACAGGATGAGTGTGCCACTAAAAACTCCAGCAGAGAAAGAACTAACCTTTCATCCAAAATAGTCGTGTGCTGCTACCCTACTAAGTTTAAGAACCCAGACTGCAGAGATTTTATTATATTATAAAAGTAATTCCACTGGATAAATACTAAAAGAAACCCTACAGGGGCTGGAAAGATGGCTCAGCAGTCAGGAACACTTGCTCATTTTGTAGAGGACCTGGTTTTGTCCCAGCACCTACATGGCAGCTTACAACTGTCCCACAACTTTAGTTCCAGGGGATATGACTCCCTCTTCTGACCTCTGAAGGTACCAGGCACACACATAATACACACACATGCATGCAGGGAAAATATTCATACATATAAAATAAAATCTCAAAAAATGCTGTAATATTTGACATACTATAGCATACTTAAACTAATTTTTTTAAAAAAAACCTATGTATTTAATGGAAGGAAGTCATATAGTAAATTTCAGGCCTAGGGCAATTTTCTGACAAGATTTGTTTTATGTATTTATGTGTACAGGGATATATGTGTGTATATGATATAACTCGGGGCCCAGCAAATGCTAAGCACATGTTCTACCCCTGAACTTCTATACATCCAACAATGTTTCAAAAGTTCTTCCCTGTATCATTTCCTTATAACCACCCATCTCAACTGAAGCAGCTCTCTCTCCTGCATCGAGGTCTGCTGGTGTGAACACAGCTCTTATGCTGCTCTCTGTTTCCAGCACAAGCATCACCAGACACTCCAGTTCTTTTTATGGACTCCATTCACAAGACCATCAAGCCATCCAATACCAAACACACCACCATAGTAGCAACTTGGAACACAGCAGAGGGAACAAAGATCCCATGTCTAAAGGAAGTTAATATTTAGTAAGAGAAATATAATTTCAAACACTCAAACTCACATATCTAGCCTTTAATAAAATGTTATGAAATAAACCAAAGGGTTTGTTTTGGTTAGAACTCCAGGGAAGACCTGGTCTGAGGAAGAGGTGTGTAAAGTCCCAACAGAGAAGAGTGAGAATGCCTATGCAAAGTGTTAGGAAAAGGGAACGGTGGGTGGCAGGAACCACCTGCACCAAGGACCTGAGGCTGGTGTCAACATCTCTACTGAGAAAAGACGCAAAAGGCATGGCTAAGGGTAGAGATGGGGCCAAGCAGGTCACAGCAGCTATCAGGCCACAGGTAATAGTCCAGATTGTTGTAAATTTAAGTGCAGCAGAGGAGCAAGCAGTATTAGTACCCTTCACGCCTGGACTGTTTGTTTCCTCTACAAAACACTCCAACTTCTCCACATCGCTAAAAGTTGGTAACACATTTAAAATGTGATCATCCTAGTGCAGAGGTCTACAAACTGAGGAGACGTTTTTCCAATGTAATAAGAAGTTGTAATTAATTATACATTCAGGTCACTGGTAATTAAGAAAAAAAGTCTTTCAGATGAACTACTGACAAATCATTTTCTCCCATACTTTTATACCTGTCTCTGTAACAAAATCAGGGCACTATACTACAAATTACATGTGTATGTGTGCATACACACACATACTCATACATACACACAGAATTGGGGAAATTGGGTTTCACTGGAACAGACTTAACAGCATAAACCAGCTCATTTTTAACGCAGTCTTAGCCTGTGATGGTGGGTTCATGATATTTAGCCCCTCCCCATGAAAGCACTTTTGCAGGAGCTCCAGCTTACTAAGGGACTCACCTTCAACAACATCCCTCTTGTAGTCACTGTCATTGTCACTGTCTGTTGGCCGATAGTAGATATAAAATCCTTGAATAGGAGTGTTATTGTTACTTGAAGGAATATACTAGAAAACAGAAACAAAGACTTGTCAAAGGCAAAAATAAAAGCAATATCTGAATTTCCTTATCTTCATGATAATGTTTCTCTAGCTTTGTTTTGCATTATATGAAGTGGCCATTTTTGAACCTGATTCAGAGATAGTCAAAGGTATACAAGCGCTTAGCTTACTGCAGAACTAAACAAAAATAGAATAGTATACATTTCCAAGCTTCAAAAACAAATGTACACATGGTTCAAAAAGAATAAATCATAGTGTCAATTAAGTTAGCAACATTTGGATGGGAGCAGAAGAAACAATTTCATTTTAACCCTGCCTCTTAGACTATGTGCTTTAGACAAACTTCAGTGTCCTTCCACTTCTCCACAATTAAAAGTTCAACAACTGATTGCTCATAACATCACCTCACAAGAGTATGACACTGATATGAAGTCTCTCTCATTAAGGAGATGTCCATTCACATACCGTCCACTTTAGCATAATTTGAGTATCGCTGACAGCCTCTGTGTATGCAATGTGAGGTCCAGTTATTGGGCGGTTGGAAAAACGATTTGGGAAGCCAGCCACCTGGTAAGGACGGGATGCTGAGCTCCGAAAACTCTCTCCATAATGGTTGATAGCAATGACCCTAAATTTGTATGTTGAACCTTGGGGAAAAAGACAAAAAAAAAAAAAAAAAAAAAAAAAAAAATTAACTATAAAAACCTGTAATAATGTTAGGATACATTTAAAGAATAAATTAAAATCCTAACATGAGTATCCTCATCACTCAAATACAATCATGGGAAGATATCAGTCTAGAAAGTGTCACTTGGTTCCACTCATATCTAAAACTGCTGTCTTTTTCCCAACTAACTACATCTATTCCCCATGACAGAAAGTTAGACACAGACATCTGCTACATCTGTGTATATTTAAAATTCCAGGAGCAAAGTGGTCATGAGCCCCCAAAAAAGTACAAGCTTATTCACACCTTTTTTCTTCTTTTTTAAAGTGGTCTTGAGGTTTGGGGAAGGATGGGATTAGAGAGAGAAACAACTTAAAATCCAGAAGTGAAATGGTTAAGGGCTGGGGATGTAGCTCAGTGATAGAGTGCTTGCTTAGCATGCACAAGGCCTTGGCCTCCATTTCCACCACTAAAACAACAGCAACGGCAACAAGAACAGTTAAGCAAAGGATGATACACTTACAGAGTTAGAGATAAAACAAGGGATACAAAGCTGTACGTGTGACAAGATTCCGGGGCATATAAAGACATAGAGAAAAAAGAAAAAAGACCAGAAAGACATGTACCAAAACATAAACACTGTTTATGGATGAGTATAGTTCAGATATCATACTCTCTTCTTCATATTTTATTTCAAAATTTTCCACCATAAGCATTTGTTTCCTCAAAAAATAACAAACAAACAAACAAAAAGTATTATTACCTGGTTCTAAACTACGGACTTCCACAGAAAGTTTGGAAGGAGGGATGTCTTCAGCGGCCACCAGCCAATCACTAGTCCTCATCCGTTTGTATTCCACCTTGAAGGCAGTGATTGGAGAGCCACCATTTGCCCGGGGAATCCAAGTGACATAGACAGAGGTCTCTGATGCAGTGGAGATAGTAGGTCGATCTGGTGCCTCTGGAACTGAAAATTGGGACATTGATTTCAGAGACAGGAATAACCTAAAAACAGTATGAGGGATAAATCCCAAACCTTGAAACAAAGGACAAATCTCTCATCAAATTTTCTGTCATAGCTACAGCCAGGATATCTGAATCTTCTTCGAATCCCCCATGACATCGCCCCTTACCAGCAGGAAGTAGTTTGGAAAGAACGACGCCCAAATTCCCAAATATTGTGTATAAATGTTTGTTTTCATTTAATTGGACTTTGTTATATAAAATTAAATAAAAGAAAAAGAAAAAGAAAAAAATTTCTGTCATAGCTAATATTACAGCCTGTCCTCTTTTAAAAGCTAAGGGGAAATAAAATGTATAGGAAAGAAAACACAGGAAACTGGAAAGAAGGGAAGAAAGTGATTACAGATATGATAATTAACTCACAAAGAATGAATGGTAATAAATATGATAGTTTCTGCTATTCTATTTTAGATTAGACTAAAGCCATGTGCAAGTGATTATTTGATTTTGGTTAGGGTACGTAAACAATTCTCCCAAATGTTTTCTTACTTGAAATGTTTTCCAAATTACATAAAACAAACCCAACAACCTACTGATGGCTCCATTAACTCTCAAGGCTTCAGGAATTGCTGCTTCGAAACACAGTCTGTCAATACACGCACGGATAACATAGGACAAAATCAAGATTAATAGCATAACAAGGGAAGGCGAGGATGAGAGGGAGACAGTGCCGCAGAAAGACAACGACACAAACATGTAGGAAAGTAGGTGGGAGAGCTTGCAGTGAGCACTACCACAAGGCACAGGTGCTGTCCTACTTCACAGGTTAGGACCAGACCCTGTGGCAGATGGAAACATCGGGAGAGAGGTCACCAGCATTTAAGCAGGGAGTGGGGGGTGGGGGTGGGGGGTGGGGGAGTGAAGGAGGAACTGGGAGGCTAACTTCCCTTGCTGAACAAACAAGACGATGGTAGTAACCACTTCCGTCATGAGTCCTATAAGGATGGCCCACAAAATAGTTACACTGAACCCCGGGAAACTGCCATTCTGCTTTCACATCAGCTGCCTGTAAATTCTGTTGACATCTGGTTCTCGGGAGGCCAGTGGGTCTTTCAGAGTGCTGATAGTGAGTTGCTAAAGCTGGACATGGACAGCCAACCTGGGCCACAATACTGGTGAAGCCACTAAAGAAACCTTATCTTTTTCTTGAGTCCATGATTCTCAAGAAACTTGTTTCATCTCAGCATCGATTCAGCCCTCATTTATGAAGGAAGTCACAATGAACATGGTACTTGTATACAGAAAACCAGGGTGTTTTACGAAACGAATGGCTTACGGGATAAACAGAAGAAGGCATTAGCAGGCAATGGTGGATGATACTTACTGTATTCCTTTCCACTAGAAAGCAATGGAAAGAAACAGAATGAGCAGAAATGTTAATGCACATCTTTACCGAAAACCAAGTGACTTTCTCCGGGTGAATGCACAGTTCAAACTCACCAAAGGCCACAGGTAAAGAGGAAAGAAAGTCACTGAGGAGAACACGTCTACAGAGAAGAGCACACTCAGTGTTTTTCACAGTAGCTGCCGCACTGGGAAAACGTAGACCCCACAGCAGCTCCACCAACTGTCTAGCATACTCACTTTCTAGCATATGCTCTACCTAGCACACTCAATGCTGTCTAGCACACTCACTGTTGTCTAGCACACTCTCTGTCTAGCACACTCGCTGTTGTCTAGCACACTCACTTGTCTAGCACACTCACTTGTCTAGCACACTCACTTGTCTAGCATATTCGCTGTCATCTAGCACATTCATTCACAGTTTGTCTAGCATTCATACTCACCATTTGTCTAGCACACTCTCTGTCTAGCACACTGGAACCTCAGAGCCTCAGTCACCTCACCTGGAAAGTAGACATGCTCTCATCCTCAAGAAGCACTTAGAAACAGCAAATAAATTATTTCATATGTGTACTTCAGTTTGAAGAGTTCCAAACTCATAATCTTCACTACAATTGTTTACCATCGATCCACCTTTTAAATGGGTCCTTGTGCCCACACCCAAGCTTCCTCCTTCTCATTCAACGTAGATTCTGTTGCTCTACCCTCTGCTATGCCCTGCTTCCTTCTCCTTCGCTGGTGTCATCTTTATATTTCTCAAGGTGCATCTTTTACATTTCTTCCTTTTAAAAATCCACTAGGGCTTTTTTGAGGGGGGGGTAGCATGAATGCAGTCCCCCACTACCAAAAATTATGCAGTTTCCAAAATTTGGGGAAATCATAGGGATCAACACATACTACATGTAATAAAAGAACCTCACCCTGGGGAAACCACCTTCATGATTCTGGAATCTCCCTTGCCACGTTAAGTACTAGGACTCTTCATAGTTCCCAGGAAAAGATTACATTTCTTTAAATGTATTTGTTTGTTTGTTTGTTGTAGGTAGAGAGGCATATGACACAGCCCACTTGTGGAGATCAGAAAACAATTTGCAAAATCCATTTCTCTTCTTTCATTGTGTGGGTCCCAGGGATCAACTTGGTCTCTTGGGCAGTAAGTGTCCTTATCCACTGGCCAGGATTATACTTTTAAGTGTATCAAATAAGACATGGGCACCTACCTGGTTCCTTATATTGTCATGGTACCCGACAGCAATAAGTTACACTAACTAACTAAATGCAACATGCCATCTGTCCATCTGCAGAAGCTATCCTTGCCTTTCCCACTCCTTCACCTAGAGGCATCATTCTTGTTTTCTGAGGCTTAGCTCAAGATGTTGAGCAGCTGTGTGAACCACTATGTGCCTTGCTTTGTATCAGGGTAAGTTAAGTATCTCTCCTGAGGTCCCACATTAGCAGGAGTATAAGCATAAGCAGAATGGATAAGCTGGCTGTTACTGGAATGTCTGTGTATATTATATTATCCATTCCACTGTTATGGGCTTAGCTGTCTCTTTCTTTTTTAACAGTCAATTCACTGGTGTGTGTTTTCAGATGTCTGTGTCACCTAATATGCTTTAAATCCTCAAGAGTAAGGATTATTTTATCTCTGCTGTGCTTCTACATGTTATGTAAATAGTAAAGTATTTGCCTTTGAGGTATCATCTTTACTCTCATAAAGCTGATATTCACATAAGTAGTGTGTTTATGGTAACTGAAAAGCAGCTCTGATATGAAAGTCCTTTGGTAAGTAAGGTTCAACATCAGGCCTAAACAAATACACGCACGCGCACGCACGCACGCACGCACACACACACACACACACACACACACACACACACACATACACAAGCACATGCACACATGCACAGGTCCCCAAATACATGCACACACATACACCACATATACACACACATATATAATAAGTAGATATGCAGGGTAGAACATAACCTAAGTAACAAATGTCCTACTCATCCTATCCCCACAAGTGAAACAGGACACTGATATTTATAAACAAACAAGATGAAGATTCTTTACCTCCACTATGCCTAGAGGAATCCGTAAGTACAACTCCAAAGTTGCTGTTGGAAGCCTCTGAAATAACAGGACGCTTAGGGATGCCCACAGGTGGAAAGGATGCCTGGGTGTTTTTTGATGATGCCATTTTCTCTGTAAGGTATTTAAAAAAAAAAAAAGCAATAAGCTTATATTGTAAAATAAAAACAAATCAAGAAAATACCATGAAGCATAACCAGCTATAAAGATACATGTGTCTGTGTCTAAACACACTACCTCCCTTATACTTAGCTGATGTCAAGAACTAGGGTAAAATTGCTTTGTCTTTCTCTAGAATCATTAAAAGAAAGCTAAATGTGTCTTTCTTTGTGGTGCTGCTTGAATTGGTACTACACATGGAGAAACAACCGTGATGTTGGTTTTGACATAAGCTTGCCACAAGTTAGAATCAGCTGAGGAGAGAGTCCTGCGTGAGGAACTGCCCAGCCTGCCTTAACTGAGGTGGAAGACCCAGCCCAGGCCTTCTGAGCAAACCAGATTTGCTCACCTGGCTTTCCTCGCTGCTGAATGGATTCACATAGCAGCTGCTGCTGCTGATCACTCCAATCTATATTAGTGACCGAGGATTAACAGCTCTCCAAGAACCTTCTAGGTTTTCAGCACCAGACTGAGAATTTTGAGGCCCAAGCCTCTTAGACTCAGTAAGTACCAGATTGTTGCTCTCCAGTGAGAGACAGACACTGTGGGCCTGCTCCAACGGCTGAGGTACTGGTCATGAAGCACCTCCCAGAGGTCTCAGCCTCTCAGCTGTGAGACATTGTTGGTACCACTCAATGTGAAAGTCTATGTCTATGTCCCTCTATGTCTACATGTGTCTAGGTTTTTCTATGTACATCTCTATCTATGTGTATATATATGTGTATATGTATGTGTATGTCTATGCCCATCTATATCTATCTATATGTATGTATATGTGTATTTTGTCTATGTCATGTATGTCCATATCTGTCTATGTGTATGTGTAAATGTATATTATATTTATGTGTATATCTATGTCTATGTACTTGTATCAGTTCTGTTCCTCTACAGAACATAGACTAATACAACAATGTGAGCAGGAAAGCCAAATGAGAACTTGGGCAAAGGTTCTGATTAGCCCATCCTTTTTGTTACATGTATTCATTCCAAAAATAATATTCATAATTAAGGAGCTTCTGTTAAGGTTGTTTTTCCACAGAAAAGTGCTACACTAACTTTTAATGTTTCAACAAGCAAAAGTAAAATTGGGTTTTGTTGATTTTTAGTTTTTAAACAGAAACAGCTATTCAGTGGTTATAGGTCAAACTATAAATAACTAGGACCAAGTGGTGAAAACTAATGGAAGATTCATTTAAAATGGGAAGTACTCATTTCTGCCCAGTAGTGAATAAATGAAAGTCTTTTCCCAAAGCCACTGGATGAATACTTCCCAATCCTCAGAGGCTTTTTCTCTTAGAGCACAGTGTTATGGAATATTTGTTTAACTATGTAAAGATGTGTTGCTGTTTTACCTTGTCTGTTGAAGGAACCTGATTAGTCTAATTAAAAGCTGAATACCCAATAGTGAGAGAAGAGATATAGGCAGGCTTTCAGGCAGGGAGAGTAAGTAGGAGATAGGAATTTAGGCTAAGGAAGAAAGAAAAAGAGACCACAAGGAGATGCCAGGGGCTGAACAGACACAAAAAAAAGCAGAAAAGTAAGATGTGCAGAATGAAAGAAAGGTAAAAAGCCCTGAGGTAAAATATAGATGAATAGAAACCAGTTAAATTAAATTAAAAGAGCTAGTGGGACAAATCTAAGAGACGGCCGAGCATTCATAATTAATAAGTCTCCATATCATTATTTGGGAGCTGGTTGGCGGCCCAAAGAAAATTCCAACCTCAGAACCCGGGCCAAGCATGCTTCTTTGGAGACCCCTCTGAAGTATTTCCCTGTATTTGGGCCACTCCATCATGGCCTCCTCTACCTGAACTCCCATCACAAGTTGGTCACCAGGAAGATCCTTCTGGAATCCTGTCAGGGTACTGCTTACATTGTCTTTCCTCACCATACCCTCCTCCATTACACCTGACTCTAACTTCAGCCCAAATGTTCTAGCTCTTCCTAGCTCACAGGTGTCACCAGCAAAGAATTGGAAAGTTCCAAGAGTGCTATGTGACCCAACCACAGAGTCATACACACACACACACACACACACACACACACACACACACACACACCTTTCCTCTTGGCTCCATCACAGAGACCCCTTTGGTGTGTACACCAAGCACTTTCTTTCCTCTAATGTGTAAAAGCCTTCTACCTCCCCTTTTGTAAGCACCTCACTGCTAATACTGACCACATCCCTGGCCACCTACTTGCAATGACTCCAACTCAGACACTTCCCAAGTCCATCCCTGAAGTATTTCTTTGTTAACACCACCCTCTAAGGTGCTTAGCACTTTGGCATATGGTCCTCCCACCTAGAACATGAACTCCACAAGGACTAGTGTTGTCTATTTCCTATACTGCCTAATGCATGGACAGCATTTGATAAATCCCAGAACCAAACTGGATTTTATCTGGAGTTGTTATCTGAGTATGCACTTTACCTTCCTCATCAGAGTGTAAGCTCTGGGCTAGATCTCAACCTGACTACCTCTGATACACCTGCCTTGCCCATCTTGATGCTATGGATGATGAACTTGCAAAAATATGTGTGGAATATTACAATGGAATAAATAATACAACCCCTTAAGTATAGCTCCCAAAAGGTACTATCGTATGCATGTATAATGGATTTATATTTTAGGATTTCTACTATCCAATGGGATTCTTACTAATCTATTGACATTAAGTAGCCAGTTCACTCTGATGGAAGATGACACCCACCTTTGCTGGTCCGGAAGGTAAGCATGGCAGGCTGTCCTTCACCAACTGCACTTCTAGCCACCATTAAAACTTCATACAGACTTGATGGCTCTAGCTCAGTTAGATGCAGCTCATTTTCACTTCCTGGGACACGAACTGTGTGCCAACTGCCCACTGTACCCGTGCCATCATCCAGCTGCTCAAGAGAAACCCAGAATAGTGAGAGATGGGGAACAAGAAACCTCTCCTCCCATTACAAAAATCTATCATTCATTTAATTCTAGAGGAGTCTGCAGATGTGATGTATTATTGTAAGCAAGAGATTCAATACCATTTGTCTTACGAAATGTATTACTCTCGTTACATAAAGGAACTTTTAATTCTTGCTTTACTACAACCTTCAGAGGAAAAATATCACCCAAAGAATCAATAGTTAGAGGCCCAAGCATGACCAAATAAGTGACCATTTAAGATTCTAGTACTAAGAGACCAGTCTACAATGTGATGGTCACAAATGATGCCAGAGGGCCTTGCTCCATTGGGTATCCTTTATTTGACGAGTATTCTACCATCTCGGCAAAGGACAGAAATAAGGTTTTCAAAGTAGTTTACAGAGTTTGATGACCAATGGGTTAAAACAAGAGGTTTGATAGTAAGTGATGGGGCTAGAGGTAGAGATCAGTGGTAGTCACTAGCCTTGAGTTCCACCCCCAGCACAGGGTGTGAGGGATGGAAGGACAGAGGGAAAATGTTATGGTTACTTTGGTTTCAAACTCCAATTCGGGGGAAAAATTATTTATACTTCTTGGTATTGGTTTCCTAAGATCTGTCAATCCAGCCTGACTGGGGGAGATACTTCTGACAAACTTATTCTAGAACACTCTCCTTTCTACCCTCCCACAAATATAACACAATATGCAAAGGTCTTACACATACACGGGGCTAAGGAATGAGAAAAGAAAAATGAATGGGAAGGCTTTACCTTTCTGTACTTCACAAAATAGGCATTGATGGGCAGGCCGCCATCCCTCCCTGCCCTCCACACCAGGTTGTACGTGTCTGGCATATGGGTCTGTGGGGGGCTCAGTATGTGAGGAGCATCTGGCACGGAGGCATTTTTCTGTGTTGGCAATTCCACTCCAGTGGAATGCACCTTCATTGGAAACAAGTTCAGTGAGCTTGACTCCAGACCATCTCTTGGGTCTCGTTCGTCATTCTGAGTAGCTTCAGAAGGTGTGACCAACTCTGCTTTTGTATTTGTTTCAAAAGGAACTGCACAGAGAGGGAGACGAATAAGGGGAACAGAAGTTCACTTTTCCAGCATCTTCTACCTAGTTAATGTCAGTGTCCATGTTAGCATTATAAGCACAACTTGAATTGGAGACATTAAGACAAGCAATATTTCACTGTTTCACTCTGAAATCTAACTTCTATTGTCAATCTGTCTACTCAGTGGAAAGCAGAGGGACTGTTTGGAAAACCAGTAGCATGACACAATAGTTGACTAGCGAAAATACTTTTATTTTTAGTTAGCTCTGTACTAATATTCAGTTTTTACAGTAGCAATTTACTAACTCAGTTTAAAAAGACTTGATGAGTCCGACACAATATATAAGGCATCCTACTGTGAACAAAGTGACAGGAAAAGAAGAGGCTAGTTAGATGGCTCACTCGACAAAAGCATAAGCCTGACAACCTGGGTTCCATCTCTAGGACCCACATAGTAGATAGGTGAGAACCACCTCTTACAAGTTGCCCTCTGACCCCCACATGTGCACCATGGCAGGCACACCCATCCCCACATATACAATAAATAAATATAGTAGGATTTTTGTTTGCTTTTTGTTTGCTTTTTTAAAATGGTCAGCACTGTTCTCTTACCCTCTGGGAAACTAGCTTCCAAAATTACTTCCCAGAATTCCCACTTAAGCAGTGCATTCGAGCTCTTAATCTCAGCTTAAGCTTTAGGAAGCCCTAGTTCTGCTTTTACTTTTTGGGTTTGGCTGCTCCCACAGATGTGTGCCAGCCAGTCTCATGTAGAGATTTCACAGACAGAGATGGAGATGAGGGTCCACTTTCACAAAAGTCCACAGGAGTGAAAAGCTACTTTGTCTGTGCCCTCTTATTACAGTCAAGTTACAAATCACTGACCCCAAGCAAGGCAGAGAAAGAACATCCCAGTTAGCTGCATCTAGTTAACTAATAGAATACAATGGAATGGAATGGAATAGCAGAGGGGCCGTGTCACTAATCTTTCAGGCAGTCAGTACTCATTAACTAACAGGTATCCCACTTGTAAGGATTAATCTAGAGATCTAGAATCTCCACAGAAGCAAACCTCTGGGCATGCTCATAGGGGAGTTTCTAGGCTGAATTAATTGAAGTAAGGAAGACTTACCCCAAAAATGGATAGCACCATTCTATAGATTGGACCCTGGGCTTAAAAAAAGAAAAAAGAAAAAGAAAGGGGGGGGTCTGTCTGTTTGTCTGTCTCTCTCTCCCTCTCCTTCTGGCTGATGACCAGATGGGTAATGTGACCAGCATAGTCTCAGCATAGAGGAAGTAAGGTGGCAAAATCCCACCACTAGCCAAGGAGCTATTGCTGGCATAGCTGCTAGGAGTGGAAGATTCCGCTTTTTTAGATGTGGTCTCTGATGGTGAACCACACAGTAGGGCAGGCCCCACTCCCAAAACTAGCTGGGCAACACAAACTGGACTCAACAGGGGGAAAACAATCTCAAAGTTGGGTGGGAAGTGATGGGAGGGCAGGGAGGGTGGGTCATCATGGGAATGGTTGGGGGAGGGAGGGTATTTTTTTTTTTTAAGTGGTATGAGTCTATGGCCATCTCATCTGATCTGGAAAAAAGTGGTATGAAATTCTCAAATAATTAATAAAAGTATCATGTAAAAATTGCCAGTCTAAAGATAGCTAAGTCTTAACTCCTACAAGCAACAGCATTTAGAATATATAGAACGTAAAATTAATATATTCTTCACATACACAAAGGGGCATATATCCAAAACTACTGGGAATATTTTGTGCCAAAAACTGTGCAAGGTAATCTGAACCATCTCATTTAATTCTCAGGTAGAGATGAGTGCTTCCTCCTGCTTTAGGGGTGTGCAGCTGGAATTCATAAACTCTACACAACAGCTGGGGAAGAATGGAGTGGGGTGCTGTGAGAAGAACAGGGAAAGTGTGAGCGAGATCTGCCAGACAAGATCTGTCAGTGCAATAAAAACCCAAGGATTGACAGCTTGGCTTCTCTCCAGTGCTGTTAATACTGCCAACTATGGATCCTCTACTATCCACTCACTTGAGAAGGAAGTGAGCAGAGGAAATGGTTCCCCCTACAATGTAGTCAGGTTCCTGGTAAAAGGTGGGTGTGGTTTGAGAACCACACATGAACGAAGAACCATCAAGGACCCTGTTAGTATTAGAGAGGAAGAATGTCCTAGAATCATCCTCCATCAAAGAAAATAAGAAGCTAGTGTGAAACGCTGCAGAAGAAAACTAGTAAGTTCACTGAGAAAACTTGAAAATATTGCTCCTGGAAGGAGCATGTTTGCCTAGTGAGTCAGAGTGGAGTGGACATTCAGGGTGGATGTGGTGCCTGCCAATGCAGAGAGCCAGGCTCCGGCCGGAGGGGATTAGCTGTGGCTTGGGTGGTGGGAAAGGACTCTTGTTTCATTAGTTTCCTGGATCTTCCAGGCAGCTGACCACTGGGAAGTGGTTATCTGGCCACAAAAGAGTCTCCATACCGCATGCATGCCTCAGTTTATACAGAAGTGTTAGGAAAAGGCAGCCTGTCCACTGCGAGAGAATCGGTTTCCATTTCTGTTACTCCAGGTGCGGTGCAGCCTGCTACAACTTAGAATATGGGGTGAACTAACTAACCTCTACTATTGCAAAGAGTATATTTTTGGTAATTAAAAAGTTACATTAGATACTGTTTGAAGACTAGCCATGCAGATGCTTTTCATTTTATCCCAATAAACTCATCATAAATTAAATTACTAAGTTGAAAAAGTACATCTATATTCCCAACCCATCGGACACCATCGCTTAGCAACAACACACTGCAGTGTTTACGTCCCCCTCGCCTGGAATGGTTGAATGGCTGACCAGGAGAAACAGCTCACTGCTACTGTCCACGGTCAGATACAGCTCTTCCTGGCAGCCCAGGAAAAGGCCAAAATTCAGTGTTCTTTTTACTGACAGTGTATCATTTTCATAACACTGTTTGAAGCTGGAAGTTTTTAAATTAAATCATCATAAGTTAAGGACTGTCTAGATATTTGAAAGTCTCATGGTTATTATTATCTCAGTTTATCTTCAAAACAACTATTAAAAATGGGCAGAATTCTATTTATGTATTCTAAAAATAATTTATTCTTTATAAAATTCACACACTTTGTATTTTGATCATATCTGTCCATCACCATGTCCCTCCAATTCTCCCTAGCACCCCGCCCCAGTCCCAACTTCATGTTCCTTTTCCTTTTTTTGGACAGATTGCTTTGGTTTGGTCCTTTGAGACAGGATCTTCCTCTATAGTCTGGGCTAGCCTTGAACTTGTAGTGATACTCCTGCCTCTGTCTCCCAGTTTCTGATTATAAGCATGAACCACCTCCCTTGCTTAAAGGTAGACTGCTTTTGAATTAGAAAAAAAATATATAGATATGTTAATGAATTCAATGAGTGTACATAAACTAATGAAACATGAAAGATGACCACTCCTGACCAAGGTGCCCCCATGGTAACCACTCACATCCACACCACACTGCAAGGCCAGCCCCCATTAGAGTCTCTGCAATAGTTTACATCCAAGACCTCAAAAGCTCAAGGTCTCTGGAAACAAGGGAGAGGGAGGTGTCACCTCACTTTCAAATCTGGCTTTCCCTCTCCACAATAAACAAAGTAACTGACAGAGCTTACTGAGACTGGGGTTTCTATACAAAGATGTGCTTTAGTATGTAGTGTTTGAGCTTTAACAAACTTAACAGGTCTTAACAATTCTCTGAAACAGAGAAAAGCCCAGGTGGGTAGGATGTAGCTGACAGTGTTACTGCTCATTAAAATGGTATTTACTAGGACAGGATCTGGAACTAAGGAGACTGTTAAAGATCTAATCTAAGCAAGTTAGGTTATGAAATGTTAAATGTTTCAGATTTCTCATATTTAAAGTGAGAAAGACAAAATATCTAGTTCCAGCAGGTACAATCATAACATCTACATCTCCTTAGGCTGCTGTAAATTTGCATAAAATAATCATGCCTGCTACATTCTATCCAGGAGCTCCTGTAAACCTATTAGCAGCTAATAATTCTAAGCTGTCCCACGCTTATTTTACCTAGTGAAATATATGCATACACATATGTGCACATATGTAGTCATATATCTAAATTTATATACTATTCAACTGCCTCCATTTGAAACTCTTAAGATTATGAAAGCCAATAACTATCTTTTCCTGCCATAAACATCACCATAATGAATAACAATAATTTGCCAGTAATTAGATAGCAATAATCATAATCTGTTATATTTACGGAATGATTTCTAATACCAGATAGCGTTTTAACAGTTTTTCTGGCCTCTTAGACTTGCATATTAATCCTACATACAGGACATCAGTAACATGTATCACAAAGCAGCAACTGGCCTACAGAGTTCATAACCACACACTGTCCCACTCTAGTGTCCATGGAACAGCACATGTGAAAGTCCCTAGCTTTTACACACTTCTCTTCTGGACTCCAGGTTTACCCAGAGCTAGAGACTCCTTGTTTATGTGAGAAAACAGCAATGCTAACTCCCAAACCCTAGCACTAGCACTTTTCTGCCAAGATTGCCCTAAGGTTCCTCCTCTGCTTTAAGGGCATCTGTGGAGGACAGGACAGGCAAGAACACCCATGCAGAGAAGAGCGTATCTCCAGGATAAACACTAACCTCGATCCCATGGGCTCTATGACCAGAAAAGACATCAGAGGACATAAAACATTAAAAAAGGAGCCTCTGTGACCCCGGACTAAAGCAGTACTGGACATCCCACATCTCAGAAGAACACAGCAACAATCCACTCAGGTAACTTGATCATTTAACAAACCAGCTCAACCATCTGCTGACTTAACATTGGGGAGCACTGATCTACATGCCCATTGGTGTAAGCTAAGAATTTGAATACTTCAAAAGTCATATGAAACTGTTAAGTCACCAGCAGGACAAATCAATAGCACATAAATACTATTATATATCCCATTAGGAAAGTAACATAGTCACATACGGGCATTTCATAGGCTCCTAAGTCTATATTTTCAATACAAGCCAACCCTTCAGACTTTGAATCTTATTCTCAGACCTCCTTGGGAAACTACGTGAAATAACGTCTTCAGTTCCTTCCAAGCCCAAAGCCATTAATCACAAAGACAGATTGCATTTTGAGCTCATTCCCAAGTAAGACTTGAGTAAGAAGTGGAGACCAAGGCCCACCTGGTTCCTGTACAGCAAAATACCCTCAAATGCAGCCCTACATTTCATTGCCACAGGGAAAATATACATTCACTAAAATAACATTTCAAATCTTTTCCCCTACAATAAAAGGGCAGTGTTCTGCTGAGAAAAACGCTGAAAGCAACTCACCAACTGTGAGGGACGCTTCTGCCTGTGTGGTGCCGTGCTTGTTTGTGGCTTCACAGGTGTATTTCCCAGCATGTTCCTGAGTAACCGCCCGAATAGACAGAGAGCTTGAACCAGCTCGGGACATGATGAAGTAGACAGGCTCCAGGTCCAGCTCCCTATGTCGGAGCAGGTGGGACTTTCGGGATTTGGATCTAAGGACCTGAGATGGATGGCTGGTTATCAATCCATGGCGGCCATACCAATGAATGACTGGGACAGGCACTCCGGTAGCATTGCAAGACAAGGTCACAAAGTCTCCATCCATCACCTCTACGTTTGCCGGTGCTGTGACTATAATAGGCTTCAGTTCACTGTCTATTAGAAACACAATTCACAGAATCAAAACTAGAACGTGATAACATTTGCCCTGCAAAAGAACTTCATCTGATTGCAGAAATGATACTGTGGAGATAGATCTGATTAGATCTCTTCTCAACTTTGACCACGTAAAATTGACAACAAAAAGTAGAAGGTCTCAGAGCCAGTAGAGGCACTTACCACCAAGCCTGACAACCAGATTTCAATCCCTGGAACCCACATAGTTAGAAAAAAAACTAACTTACATAAGTTGTCCTCTGACTACCATGCATGCACATGCTCAGACACACACACACACATACACACACACACACACACACACACACACACACACACACACACACCTTAATTGGGCTCAGAGGAAGCCCAAGTAAATGTGTAAGGAGAGGATGGAAGCCTGAGTGTATTATTGAGAAGGATCTCAATGCCTGAAATCCATACAAACTGGCAAAGCCTTCCCAGGTGAGGGTCAAGCTCAGGGACCTGGCAAAGTCTTGCTCTGGTCCCTGTGGGAATGCTAACAGTGTGCTCAAAAAACAAACAATTGCAGCCTTGTCCTCATGGATGACTGAAACTTGAGACTGCTCCCCTACAAATATTCCTATTGAGGCTAGCTAACCCCCCCCCCCCACCCCATGCTACATAAATAAAAGCATTGAGTTTCTGGGTTATTGCATTTTAGGAGCCTTCTATCAGACTGATCACTGCTATCCAATGCCAGCTTTTCTGTATGTGTGTCTGTCTGCCCTTTCTTCATTCCCTCATCACCCCATCAGGTTTCCAGTACCAAGTCATGCAGGATGTTGTAATTGGTTTTATTGGGAGGTAGGGGCAATTTTGAGACAGGTTTTTCCCTGTATCTTTAGCTGTGCTGGAACTTACTCTGTAGATCAGGTTGGCCTCAAAATTAGAGATCCACCTGTCTCTATCTTCTGAATTCTGGGATTAAAGGTATGAGCCATCACACCTGGCTTGTAGTGTATAATTTTTTAAAAGTATAATTTTTCATAACTGTAGGTTCCTCAAGTTCCCTACACAGATTCCCTGTTCCTCCTGAAAGGAGGAATATATATATATAAACAAATCTACTAAGATACCATTAGGTATACTGTGCCTACTTGACTGCAGTAAACACGGAACACATGAAGCGAGAACCTCAGACCATAACAGGAAAAAGTTACAGAAACACAAAACAGAATAATATTCCTTCAAGGAAATAGGCGGTTCTGGTGAAATCTGATTAGAGATAACCTGAGAAAGACCCATTTTAAGTGAAAGCTGACACACTATTTATAATCATCAGTATGAACACCATTTTTGTTTCTAAATCAAAATGGCACCAAGTCTTCTCTTCTAGTTCTGGTATTTTCTAAAGAGACTCTTAAGTGAGGCCACAGGAGACATTTTTTCCCCCACAGCATGTTTCTTTTTCCTCTAGACCTATTTATCATGTCTGATAAAACTAAAGACACTGAATCTTCACAGATTCTGAACGTTTGCCAAGTGAATGAGTATAAACGCTCTAACTAGCTGTAACATGCATGTCCCTGAGGACTGATGAAACTGAACAACTCCTGGCAGGTTTATGTGCCATTCATAACTGCTTTACATGACTTGCTAAAACACTGACTCATAGATCATACAAATATCCTCCAACCTATTCCTCAAAAACTTTCCTTTGTGAATTTATCTTTATGTACCATGTGAGTTAGAGATTTGATTTTTATTGTCTTTTTTTTCATTTTGATAATTAATTATCTCAAGTCAAAACATGAAACAAATATCCTCCCCATGGGGTATGCAATACCAGTTCAGTCAGGTCCTTCCATGTAAATATATTTTTGTCAGTTTCTGTCATGTCCAAGAGTCTATTTGTTCCCGTAGCAATCTAACACTTTTGGAATTATAATGGCTTTTTATGCTTACAGCAAGTGCCACGTGGTTTTAGAATGTTCTAGTTACTCTTGGACTTCTGATTATCTTTATAAATTTTATAATCATTTTCTCAAGGGTACAAACACAGAGAGAGAGAGAGAGAGAGAGAGAGAGAGAGAGAGAGAGAGAGAGAGAGAGGCACACATACATACTTATGTAATCCAGGCTGAACTCAAATTCTTAATGAAGCCAAGAATGACCCTGAAGTCCTGATCCCCCTGCCTCTACCTTCCAAGTATTGGTGTTATAGGCAGATGCCATTAAAGCCCAACTAAGATCTTCAAAATATTCTAACTAGATTTCAATTACAGTAGCATAAATCTACAGAAAGGTTTGAAAATGACAGATAACTGCATAATTCCAAGTTTTGCTATCTGTGACCTAGAATGTCTTTCTACATAACTTTGTTACTAATTAAAAAAAAAGTGATTTTTAAATATCATTTTCTCTTTGTTGCTGGTATACAGAAAGGCAAATGATTTGTGCTTATTTAAATATATACTTAGCTCCTCACTAAATACTAGTGTTTTAAAAAGAAAATATATAAGAGCCAGTACTTTTGATATTATACAATGGCAACAGTGGTTATAAATTAATAACCATTTGGATTATTTCCTTCTAATTTCCTTTGTGTCTTTCTTGCACTGGCTAGATTCTCTCTACATTGATACCTAGAGTGAGTTTTAAAGAGAGTATCTTTTACATTTTCCTGGTAAGAGATATTTCATCTAAGTCCTTGTTGGATACCGTTTATCAAGTTCTATTTCCATTTTTCTGACTGTCTAGCACAGTTTTGTCTAACTTTTCCTACTCTATGAAATAATCATGGTTTTCCTCCTTTATACAGTAAACACTGTGCACAATACATTTTATGATAGACTTCTGAAATAGCTGCTTCAGCAAGATATATATATATATATATATTTCCTGGCTTGCTGATATTTTATTTATGACTCTTATACACATGTATACAAATAAGACCTGCTTTTTTTTTAATTATTATTCTTTTAGCTTACTTTCTTATCCCATCCTTCTGTGATTTTGGACTCAAGATTATACTGATTAAAGAGTTTCCATTTCGCCCTTTCTCTGGGAGAGTTGTGTAATATCTGGAAAGGTCTATAACTTGCAAATTCGGTAGAATCTACAAAACCATCTGGCCTGGTATTTTCTTTGTGGGAAAAATTTAACTCCTAATTCAATTTCTGTCATAGCTGGAGAACTACTCAGGTTTTTTATTTACTTTAAGCCAGAGACTTGCTAAATTCTATTTTCCCTTAGAATTTACCCATGTTATAGTTTGAATCTGGAGTTCCCCACAGAAGCTCATGAGTTGAAAGCTCAGTCACCAGCCTGCCATGCTACTGACAATGAAGTCAGAGCAAGATGGGGCCTGGTTGGACAAAAGTCAGATTGCTAGGAGTGTCTTTTGAGGGGAGACTGGGAACCTGCCCCCTTTCCATCTCTGTTTCTAGGCCATAAGGTAAGCAGGTCTATTCTAGCACTTATTCCAGCCATAATACATTCAGTATGCTGCCTGCCATAAGCCCAAAGCAACGGGCCCATGTGACCATGTCTGTAGCTACGAGCTAAAATAAAGCCTCCTGCTCTGTAAACTGGTCATCTCAAGTATTCTGCCACAGTGGCAGGAAGCTAACACCACAGCTCCATTTATATTTGTAATTTACTCTCCTATCAATCACTTCATTACTTTTAATTTCTATAGTGAGATTTGCAACTTCCTCCCATCTCAATGTTGTCCATTTATTACTTGTTTACTTAATTTTGCCAAAAGTAGACTTTACAAAGAACCAATTTCTATGCTTGTTAATTTTGTGCTTTACCTTTCTTAGATGCTTTCTGTTCTTGATTTGTCTTCTGCTTTCTTTGAGCCTATTCTAATGTTCCTTTGATTTACTCAATAATTTTCAACCTTACTTGTTTTCTTTGGTAAGCACACAAAGCTATAAAGATCCTAAATTCCATGTTGGCCATCTTCCCACAGGACATGTTTGATTGTGCTAGCTAGTCTTATGTCAACTTGACACAAGCTAGAGTTATCTGAAAGGAGGGAACCTTAATTGAGAAAAAGTCTCCAAAAGATCCAGCTGTAAGGCAATTTTTAATTAGTGATTGGTGAAGAACTAGCTCATTGTGGATGGTGCCATCCCTGAGCTGGTAGTCCTGGGTTCTATAAGAAGGGGGGAGGGGCTGAGCAGGCCATAGGGAGCAAGCCAGTAAGCAGCACCCCTCCATGGCCTCTGCATCAGCTCCTGTGTCCTGGTTGCTGCCCTACTTGAGTTCTAGCCCTCACTGCCTTTGATAACTGTTATATGGAACTGTGAGTGAAATAAACCCTTTCCTCTCCAACTAGTTTTTGGTCATTGTGTTTCAGCACAGCAATAACCCTGACTAAGACAGTGATCTCTGGCATTTTCGTGGTCATTCATCTTAAAGTATTTTAAACTTCCACTATGGTTTCAAAATGTAACTTAAGGTTTCCAAAGGTATTAACTTTGAAATCTAAGTGCTCATGAGTATGAACTCACGATAATTATGAAGAAAAAATTGATAATATCTATTAAAATTTCCAATACATATATAGCTTTATTTGGCAAGTTCACTTCTAGGAATCTCTTTTAGAAATACTCACACATATGCAGAATGATCAAGACATTTACTACATCTCAAACAGCTATCAACAAGATGCTAGTCAAATTATTGTGACTATAAAGTGGAATAGTAAGAAGCCATTTTTCTTAAAGAATAAAAATATGCTTTGGTATACCATATGTAAAGAAACTCAAACTATAAATTAAGTAAAAAATTTAAAGGAAAGAATTTTGCCACTATGTTTTTAAAAGACAATAAAAATGCACACACCTGTGATGTATAACTGCTTGCATATGCACACAGAAGGTTATTCAAGAAACTAATAACAACCAGCTTTTTTTAAAGAAAAGACTTAACTGACCAACCATTAGATGCTGATAGGGATAGGAAGGGGGAGGACAAGCAAACTAATGAAGCAACTATTGAAAATTAATGTTTTGAAACAGTTTATTATTTAGGGCCTATGGGAACCCAGGACATCTGGCACATGCTATATTCCACTTCAGCTAAATTTCCATCCTAGCAACTTTTTTTTGTTTTGTTTTGTGTTTTGTTTTTCAAGGCAGAGTTTCTCTGAGCAGCCCTGGCTGTCCTGGAACTCACTCTGTAGAACAGGCTGGCCTTGAACTAGCCTGCCTCTGCCTCCCTAGTGCTGGGATTAAAGGTATACACTGTCACCACACAGCAGAAACAATTTTTTATGTTTTGGGGTGTTTTGCCTGCATATATGTCTGTGTACCACTTCTGTGCCTGGTACCCCATAGCCCAGAAGAGGGCACTGGATCCCCTGAGGCTGTAGTAACAAATGGTTATGAGCTGTCATAGCTATTTGTAAATGAGAACTGAGTGCTGAGTGTTGAGTGCTGAGAATTGGACCTAGGTCCCTCTGGAAGAGCAGCCAGTGCTGTTAACCACTAAGCCATCTCTCTATCCCAAACAATTTTTTAAATGAGATTGATTAAATAAAGCGGCTTCATCATGGAAATGCTAGTCTGTCACTATAAAGATCATGGAAAACAAACACATTTCTTATATGGTGATAAGATTATTTTCTTTCAATAAACATGAATTCATTTCTAATTGCTGAAAAAACTTCTATTTTTTATGATTATATAACCTAAGAGCACACCTTGCTCAATTTGAAGTCTTCCAGTCGATTGCATAAATCCAATTCCATTGTCTGCTATACACTGGTATAGCCCTGAGTCCTCCATGGTAACCCCAGTGATCTCCAGTCCATCTCCTTCAGTTAGATGACGTGAGGAGGGATAAATGGGCCGTGCATTATGAAACCAGGTGCGGTTGGGGGCTGGGTTCCCACGAACATCACAGGTAAAATGTACAGTGGCCCCCAGAGACACCGTCTGATCTTGCAGTCCTTTAGAAATTGAAGCACGCTCTGGAAATAAAGCAGGCACACTTAACTATCACACAAATTGCAAACAATCCATCTCTAAGACTGCATAGTGAAATCTGTGTTCTGTACTTACATACATTCTTCTATCTGTGTGGTCAGCAAGAAATACTAAGAAATCTACTTCAACTTTCACATGCAACAAATATGCAGCTACTAAGTTAGAAGCGTTTTTTATACTAACCCACACATTTTATACCCCAGCACCTATGAATACACACACACACACACCCTGTTCTTCTTCTCTTATCTTAACTTTTAACATTAAGTAGTAGTTTCTCTGGATTGTACACTAAACAGGAAACAAAAAAGAAAAAAGAAAAGAAAAACAAAAAAAGAAATGAAAATCTTTTCAATGCATCAAATATTCTGCTTGTTTTAAATTCTATTTGTGAGAGTGTTGTGGAATGGAGAGCAGCAGCCACACTCTGGGTTAGCCTCTGGCTGCGGGCCTCAACAAGGGCCAGATGGTGAACACCAAGTCGAGCCACTGCTGGTGCCTCAGGAACTTCACCAAACACATCATCTAGGTCCTGTGGCATCGTATTAGCTGCATAGCCACGATGTTGGCAAAGGTCCCCAAGCCAAGGCTTTCAAATTCCTTCAGAAGAGAGTAGGGGTGTGCACACACACACACACACACACACACTCACACAGACACACATACACACAGACACCACACTCACACACACACACAGACACACACACACACCACACTCACACCACACTCACACACACACAGACACACATACACACACACACAGACACACACACACGCACACACACAGACACACACACATACACACACATACACGCACACACACAGACACACACACACATACACACACACACAGACACACACACAGACACCACACTCACACACACACACATACATATACACACACACACTGACACCACACTCACACACACACAGACACACACACACACAGACACACACACACACATACACACACACATACACACACACACAGACACCACACTCTCACACACACATACATATACACACACACACACTGACACCACACTCACACACACACACAGACACACACACACACACACAGACACCACACTCACACACACACACACAGACACACACACACAGACACACACACACACACACACACACACACACCACACTCACCAAGCTCTCCCCACTGTTCTGGCTACCAGTGTGGATATTTCTCGGTCTTATGTCTCATTTTTATCTCACAAATATCCTTCAAACATCAACTAGGTCAGGAAAATAACCTGATTTGGAAAGAAATCTCTATATTGAATAAGTTAAGACCTTACCCAGAACATTAACCATGTAAGTGACATGTTTTACATCTCCGGACTTGTTGCCCACCACACAGGAATAGTTCCCAGAGTCTGCTGGGTCGATGCTAGCCGTGGCAAGATGAGAGTACAGCCTTTTCCAGTTGCTTCCTGACATAGCATCCTGCCCATTCTTCAGCCAATACACCTGCGAGGCCGGGACCCCGCTCACAACACACTCCAAGGTAACAGGGCTGTGAGGAAGCACAGCTAATGCCTGAGAAAGAGCAGGGTGGAGAATGTGAAAACCATCTGAGGAAGGGCCTGGAAAAGGAAGGGAACACAAAACAGTATTAGAAGTGACGATTGGAAATCCACCCTCTCCCTTAGCTGACCAATGAGCATCTCAGGGAGCAGCTTCCACTTCTCCCCAACATGACTGAGGGTCCAGATAAAAATATTTTGTAATTTTTTAAAGAGATTTTCCTAATTGGCATTTTGGAAATGCTGAATTTTTGAACCTAAAGCCACACCTCTACTATGGTCTACTTTAGCTTAACAACCATAATCCAAAATCATTCATGATTTTTATGCTATCTGATAGAATGCACATTACCTCTTGATCACATACACCACAGCTAACCACCAATCACTGTTTTCACTGTTATAAAATTGATATGTTAAAAATACGTGCATGGGTGCTAGAGATGGCTCAGCAGCTAAGAGCACTTGTTACTTTTGCAGAGGACCCAGGTTTGGTTCTCAGCACCCACATGGTGGTTCATAACCAGCCATAAATCCAGTGCCAGGGGATCGGATACAACACTCCTTGGGCACCAGGCACAAACTCTAGTATACATAAAATAAACAGATCCTTAAAAACAGGTACCGTACTATTCAATGATACATTGATGCACAGAGATGACTCCCTCAGTGGTTAAAGGCCCTGACTGCTTTTCCAGAGGTCTCAGGTTCTCTTCCTAGCACTTCCATTAAGGCTTAACCACCTGTAACTCTATTTCCAGAGGATATGATGCCCTCTTCTGGCCTCTATGGACAGCTGGTGTGCACATGGTACACAGACATACATGCAGGCAAATATCCATACATGTAAAATAATACTTAATAATAATAATAATAATAATAATAATAATAATAATAATAATAATGTTAAAATAAAACCAGAATTGAGAAACATACTGAACTCTCCTTTACCAAGGCTTCCTGGGCCATACTCGACTCTTCCTTCCCTAGCCACCATCATTCCCAAATACTTACGACTCACAAGGAGCTTCCGGCCAGTGGGTTCAACTTTCAGTTCGCTGGTGACAGGATTATAAGCGGCACATTTGTATGACCCCTTATCCTTTGAGGACACATTCAAAATCTGAAGATTTCCTGAAGGAAGGATCATGTAGTTCCCTGGGGAAGGTAGAGGGATGTAGTCAGGGGCTGGGGATGCAGCTCACCACAACCCCTGGGCTCAAGCCCAGCATCCACTACATAAAATCAGGCACAGTGACACATGTCTATAATCCTAGCACCAGGAAGGTAGAGGAAGGAGGACCAGAAGGCCAAGGCCAGCCTCACCTACTGAGTTCCAGGCTCTGCAGACCCCCATCACACAACTGGAACTAGCACAGACTGTTGAGATTGACACATAAGACCAGCAGCAAACATGTAGCAAAAGCAGTTTCATTACACAAGAGAAAGGAAAGCCAAGCCCAACTGTGACCATATAGCAAAACCTTCAGCAGATAGAGTCCAAAACACAAAAACTTTACTTGGACAAAGACACAGTAAGCATGGATGCTTCTGCATATATCTCCACCTATAGCCACTGTGGTGTTCATTCACTGGCCACTCACCATGTTTCTCAATAAATACACACAGAATAGCTAATCTTTGGCCTGACACACATAATAATGGCAATGCAGAAAGCAGACAAAGTCCCTGTATTAATGCACTTATGAGGTGGCAGATAAAGGGGCGGGTGGGGGGAGACTAACAAACAAAATATATGCAGCACACACCAGGTGTGAGGGTGGACGAAAGGAACAGATCCCTTATTTATACACACCAAGAAGTGTGTCTTACATATAGCCCTAAGCGGTTGAGGAGCAAGCCGTTGGGGTCAGTTGTCTAATGTAACCACCTGTCTCAGCTTCCTCCACCTACCCTCTGAGAGCACATCCCAGACAGGACTCACCTGTGGAATACTTCAGCCACTTTCCCCGGATCTTATAGCGCACCTCAGCTTTGGGGTTGCTCTCTGGTACCCTACAGCCAATGAAACCAGTGTTTTTCTCTTCTGCGGTAATAACATGCATTGTTGACAGGTCAAAATCACCAAGAGCTGAAATAAACAAACAAGTAAACAATTGAATTAAATGCAAAACTACTTAAAGGAAATTTAATAGTTAGAAACATATAGAATGGCATTTAGTGACAGCTGATCCCAGTCCCAGTGACAGCAGGCTTTTTTGGCTTGGTTTGGTTTGGTTTGGTTTGGTTTGGTTTGGTTTGGTTTGGCTTGGTTTGGTTTGGTTTGGTTTGGTTTGGTTTGGTTTTTTGAGACAAGGTTTCTGTGTAACTGTCCAAGAACTGCCAGGCTGGCCCTAACTGCAGAGATCCACCTGCTTCTGCCTCCTCAGTACTGGGATTAAAAGTGTGTACCACCATGCCTAGCCAAGTTTGCTTTTTTGACAGGTCTCATTATATAACACTATGCAGCTCAGGCTAGTTTTGAACTTGTGATCCTCCTGCCTCAGCCTCCCAACTGCTAGGGTTACAGGTGTGAGCCACCACAGCCAGCAATGAGAAAGTCACTGAGGCAGAGGTGAGTGCTTAAGGGCTGGTGGCTAAGTCAGGGCACATAGGTTTTCACAGTTACTGCCTTCAGGCAAATGTAAGGAAAACAAACTGCTCCAAACATCAAAGATAGCTGCAAAGCATAGTCACCCTCATTCTGTCAAGGCAAATTCTTCCCCATCCAGAGGGGTCTTCACCAAAACTCACTTCCCCTGCAATAAAACGGCTTCTGGGAATGAACCCAGGACATATAACACAGTAGCCCACTGAGCCTGGATGCACCAGCTTGGTACTGATTCCTTTCAGCTTAGACAGTTTACTGTGGACTGAGCAGGCCCTGTGTTATCCCCACCACCCAAGGAAGCCAGCTGCCTGCCTCCAGGAAATCAACCCTCCAGTGTGTGTCTTGGAGCTGTGCATGGGTCACAGCTCTACAAAAACATTTACTCTTCTCAGTTATGACAAACTCTCTACTCCAGGGGAATCCAGATTTGTTCTGTAAATAGGGGTGCCCTCGCAAAGCCGTTTTCCATTACTGGAAGCCATCGCCATTTGAAAGGCAGATGGCTCAAACTTACTAAGGAAAACCATGCATTCCAGATTTTCCATAAGTTCAATTCTTCACATTCCTTTCTTTACAGTCAGTTCACACCCCCCCCCCCGCTTCTTTAGCCTGGTTTCAATTACAAAAATTAAAATCCCCTGGTAATCAAGCAAAATAAAACAATTAGACGTGAAAGAAAGATAAGGGACTGCATAAAATAAATGAGTATAAAAGCCAACTTTTTTGTCTGTACTGATGTTAATGACTTTAAAAGATTCACAAGGATGTTGTCCAGAATTTACACTAGAAAACTGCCCTGTGCTAATTTGAAAAAAAAAAAAAAATCATTTCCACACTATTGATAGAGATTAAGCTACAAGGCTGGGCTACCAAGGTTCCAGCTATTTGAAGTCTAAACAGTTAGGATAAGTACTCTCAGACCCCTGAATGTATCGTTTCAGTGCCCAAGTTTTTCCCACTATAAAAATTGCAGAGACAAATAGAAAACCCATATATTTCAAGAAAAACAACAGGTAGCAAGATTCAAACAACACTCACCTGCAGTGGACACTGTTGCAGGGCCACTCACGATGGCACCAATGCTGTTGTTGGCAATGCACTGGTAGCAACCAGAAAGGGAAGGGTTAAGAGACAGAATTGTCAAAGTCCCCTGATGAATCTTAATCTGTTCCGTGTTTCTGTCCAATCGTTTCCCATTATGCAACCATGAGATTCGAGCAGTGACGGGTTTAGCAGAACAATGTAGGACCACGGGTTTACCAAGCTTCTGGACAGCAGAGAGTGGCTCAGAAATAAAATAAGGTGCCAAGTCTGCAAGAGAACATTCCGGTGTGCAAATGAAGAGAGGAGGAAGGGGGAGAAAGTGCATTGAATACATTTCATCTTCATCTATAACTAAGGCAATCTCTTATTTCTATATGTGGTAGTTGTTAATGCTTATAAAAAATTCATAAGCCCATCTTGGTCTCAAACTCAGAGATCATCCTACCTCTGCCAACCAAATGCTAGGATTAAAGGTGTGCCACTATGCCAGGTCCCTACAGTATTTTTAATAAGTAATAAATACTACACGATGAATTACACATTGTTATGCGTGTATATCCACCTTCATATAAGTTTAAATCAAAAAGGTTAAAATGAAGATAGGCTTCACCCCAAGCCCCATCTTTCTCCTCTTACCTGAACTCACAGAAGAACAGAGAATCCCAAGAACATACAGCAGTGTCCATAAGGGTCCGAGGTCTGGATGCATAGCGCCCAATTACAGAAGTAGGCAGGGAAGACTTCCAGAGAAAGCCCAGGCCTCAGCTCACTAGCAAACATTTAAAAGAAAGACAATCTAAACCATAAGAACCACTAACATCTTTGAACTGAACACCTCGTCTATATTCTTCAAGAGTCATACCATCCACACACAAATCTAGACACTAAACTAGGGTTAGACATGAATTCCTTCTCCCAAGAAACTACGGTTCTTTTCACTAGGAACTACTCAGAGCTGACTTAGAACACACTGGAGTGGGAAGAACGGAAGAGGAAGAACCATCACGAGACACTGCACCCTTGGGAGACAGAGGAGAGCATGATGGTGACAAACATGATTTGTGAGCTGTGACAATGAAATGAAAATGGATTCAGGACATAGTCTAAAGCAGAACCACAGAGGCATGGACGTGAAGTGTGGGTGAGATGCAGAGACATGTCAAGGATAACTCTTGGGTTTTGGTGTAAAGGGACAAAGAATGCCTGCTTACTAAAGGAGAAAAACCCAGAGAGGGGGATACAATGTGAAGAAGGGAGAGCCAGCAGTCCTGAGTGACTGAGGAACATTTAAGATATCTTCTGGACACCCAGATGCTACCCATGAGATCCAAAGTTGATTAACTGGTTCTGGAGTCATAGGGAGGAGTCAGAGCTGGGAATATAGATTTCAGATATAAGAAAGTCAGGCACCATCTCAGGCTTTTCTATAGAAAATATGCTTAGAGAACAAGTCATGCCCAGCAAGGACCTTTAGAGACTGGACAGAGCCACAATGGGAACGTGAAGAAAGAAGCAATGAAGGGGCAAAATCCAGGAAAGTCTCTAGTCATCAGCGCTCTCAACCCAGGTGAGAAGCAGAGTCCAGCTGCTATCCAAAAGGTGCAAGCAAATGGCTCACAATGTTGACAGGAATGGGTCAGCCGAGGAAGGCTAACTTAGCGGGAACTGTGGAGAGCAGGCAATAATGGAAGAAGGAAGGATAAAGACATCCCCAAATTTGCCAAGCAGCAGAAAAACAGGAAGAACATGGCAGCAGGCAGACGAATAGTTCTAACAGATGCCACCTGAGGGAAGGTTGTTTCTGGCTTATTCTCCTGCCCCCCCCCAGGGGAGGGAGCACAGGATGGCACACTTAGAAAACTTTTAAGAAATCCATAAATCCAAGGACTGGCAAGGACATGGAAACAAACACCATGTATATGATGGGTAGAGGTAGAATCAATGAGTTCTTTTTGGAAACAATTTAGAATATATATATATATATATATATATATATATATATGTGTGTGTGTGTGTGTGTGTGTGTGTGTGTGTGTGTGTGTGTGTGTGTATGTGTATATGTATATGTCATTGATTCATGCAACAAATATTTTTAAATATTTATTATTTAGTAGATACAATCCTAAAGGCTAGACACAGGACAGTCATGACAAAAATAAAAGTAAGTATCATAGACATAAGTTTAAACCTTATATTCTAATGGGAGAGATGAACAATGAGCAAAATAAATAAGTTTAGGAATGTCTGTGTGTCCTTGAGATAATGGCTAAATCCCCTCCCTAAGCCTAGACATCTTTCTACTTTGTTCTCACTTTTCCAAGGAACATGATGTATCTTCCTTAAAAGCAAGCATATTCAATGTTGTAAAATTCTACTTTCTAGAAACATTCTATAATGTCCCTTAAAATAAACGGACTACTTTAATAAAATGAAATTCCCAAATGTGCAGTCACAGTTAATAAAGTGTGACATTGGAACTTAGGACACTCTAGCTATACCATTTGTTCCTCCATTCATCAGCAAAGATGTATTAAACACCCCACCCCACCCACGCCTTTCTATGCATTATGCTGGGCAGGGTTATCAGTAACCACTGCAGATCCTGCCCTGCATTCCTGCTTGGCCAGGGCTGGAAACAGACTCTATGACTATGATACAACAAAAGTGAATGATGGGGCTATCTTAACAATCCCTTAGGAATGTAACTGGGCAGTAATATAGAACAAAGCACTGAGTCTTCGTGAGCCGGTGTCTCGGGAGGTGCTCATCTGTTTCTCCTACTCCAGAGTCTGGAGGCTTACAAACTTAAGCAGAACTAGATCACTGACATCAGGTCACAGAAAACTTTCCACTCTTTTTCTTGGTGACCCCTTTAAGAAGTGGGAGCAGATGTACTAGCACACTCATTGGCAGAAAGGGTCAGTTGTGTGAAAACCTCTGGATTTATTTGAATTCTGCTAGTTTAAAGCTAAGGACAGACAAAGCAGTGGTGTGAAGGCAAAGTAAACATTCACAGGACTTGGTAACAGGAGACACTTTCTGAGAAAATGTGCACATGGAGGATCATGTCTTCCTTTTGCCAAATCCTTCTCTAACTATTTATTTATTAAAAGGCAGCGACATGGATTTTACAGTGAACTTTAACCCTCACTTCTGACCTAATTTACAGTTCCTCTTTGAAGTTTCACAGCTCATTATTTCAACCTAAATAGACCACACAGAAGCCTCCTCGATAAAACCTACTGGACTGCTCTTTTACACTAATTTTAGACAGGGTTTCACTGTGTACTCATGGCTAGCCTCTAACTATGTAACCCAGGCTAGCCTCAAACTTGCAACAATTCTCCTGTCTCTACCCCCTTGATGCTGGAATTACAGACATGATCTCAGTTAATCTTGAAAGTTACAAAAACCCAATGTCCATAAGAGGAACTTACTAAGTATCGGTGGGCTTAACTTCTGTGTATGCACAGCTCACAGTAAGAGAACTACAGAGGTAATGTCATCTATGGGTCCAGTGACTTGTACTCAGCAGCAACAGGCTCTCACAACCTTGTCACCACACACCACTCACAGCACAGATGTGACATGACAGATCAGAGACCCGTGAGCAACACTGGAAATGAATCACTCCATTCCATATCACTTTCAAAAGTACCTCCTTTGTCAAAAACATAATACCCTAATATTAGAGTGACTCTGAGTTATTACTCTCTCTCCCCCCTCCTCTTCCTCCCTCATCCCACACACAGACACACACAACTTTCCCTGCATTCCCCTGGGTGATGAACAATTTTGCTCCTGCTATATTATACACAGGTAGCATGACCTTGTATGTCACCTCTCTCACAGCAGACATCTACCTTTACCTTGGGTAGAAAACAGCTCTAACTGCTTCAACAAAGTTGTTATCCTATCCCCTTCACATCCTCTCTGCTGAAACAGTGACCAACAGAATGAAGGTCCAGAGAAACAGCACTCCACCCTACACCACACACCTCTCGGTTACATCCCTTGCCTAAGGTTTTTTTGACCTCTAGTAAAGAATACACAGCATTCAGGGATTTCCCTGTAAAACTTAAAATCAGAATATAGACCTAAATCATATCAGATGGAATGGAATTCTGATTAAAATCATACTGTTATTTTTTAACTTCATCATTTATCTCATTTAACACTTTTCAAAAAATATCCAGTCTTAACATAATGCTGTGTTGAACATATTTTTTTCATATAATTGACAATGAATATGTTAGTTCTATTTTAAAAATCGTTAAGGGAAAGTATATATAAAAATTCATTAAAAAACACAACCCTTCATCATAGAATATGTTGGATGTGCAGAAAATACATAGGGAAAATAAAAGTGAACGTTCTACCACCCAGCGATAACACATCAGCATTCTGATACATGCCCTCTCAATCCTCCTCGTATGTGTGTACATATGCACAATTAATACAACTAACCTATCCACCATCATGGAGCCCTCATCTAGTACCTGTTGGAAAGAGAAGCAGACACCCACAACTAAACACTGAGGCAAACTAGAATCCAGATGCAGAGAGAGGGGACAAGATCAGGTTGCAGAAACACATAAAGACAGCTGACCTGAACAAGGAGGAGCTAACGGGCCCCCAGACTGATAGCTGGGAATCCAGCATGGGACTGACTCAGGCCCCCCTGAATATGGATCTCAGCCAGAAGGACTGAGCAGTCTAAGCGACCTCAGACAGTGGAGCCAGGATGTATCCCTGGTGCACAAAAGGACCTTGCGAACACATCCCTCATGGAGGGATACTCCCTTAACCTAGAGACAGGAGAGAAGTCCTAGTCCCTACTTCAAATAACTTGACAGATTTACATGACCCCACCTGGATAACATAGCCCTACATGTGGAATGGGGGTGGGAAGATGGGAGGGGAGGGTGGTCAGGGTGCATGTGAGAGGGGAGAAAGGGTAAGAGGAAGGGAGGGAGGGAGGAAGGGAGGAATGAAAAGAGGGAGGGAGAAAGAACTGGGATTGACATGTAAAATTTAAAAAAATAAATAAAAAGAATGTGTAATGATTTTAAATCCTTTCATTAATCTTGTCTAGTAATCATTTTTCTTATTAAAACCTTTCATGAACATCATATGTAACACTTACAGATACCCTGTCTTAGTTAGGGTTTCTATTGCTGTGGAGAGATACCATACATCTCATGCATATGAATGATTATCACTGAGATACTCTTAATTATGTGTCCTGATGTGATATTCTTGGAAGTAGAATTCCTACATCAAGGACATGAACATTTTAAATATTTTTACATGCATATCTACAAGGCATTTTTGACGAAGAAGCCACCATTCCCAATAATCACCATCAGAACAGGAAGATGACTCTCCTCTCAGTTTAAGGTGCAAATCCGTGTACTGTGTAAGCCAAATGTGAATAAAAAATATAATTGCTTAAACCAGGCGGTGGTGGTGCACGCCTTTGATCCTAGCACTAGGGAGGCAGAGGCAGGAGGCTCTCTGTGAGTTCGAGACCAACCTGGGCTACAAGAGCTAGTTCCTGGACATTCTCCAAAGCCACAGAGAGATCCTGTCTCAAAAAAAATAAAATAAATATATATACATATATATGTATATATATATATTTATGTGTGTATGCATATATATATACATATATATACACATATATATGTATCTATAATTGTTCAACTGGTTAAAGTAATGATACCCCATCCATATTAAGCACACTCTGTTCACCTTTGACCTACCAAT